TATAATAGCCTACTGACCAGAGTGCTCAACCTGAAAGTAAAGAGAAGGATTCAGTTCTCTCTTCACTGGAAGTGGTTCAAATGCATGCTTGGAACAACCCCAGATATATAAACAGCACTTAATTTAATTAATTATTAAAAAGAATTAAACAGATTTAACAGTAGTGTAAATGGATACAGTCACTGCCCTCCAGCTAAAAGTCATCACTGTTTGAAAAGACACAGAAGCGTGGGAGTTGGAGAGGCAGACTACTTGTGCCTCATCTAATCCAGTGGGAAAGAATAGTTCTGGAACATGATCAGGTTGGAATTTATCTACTCAGAGAAGTACCTAGAACTTTTAAAAGTTCTTGGAAGGGGCTGGTCTCTAAACTGCAAACCACCTCAGCGATAAATAAGTGCACTCAGGATGCACCTGCAAAACAAGTGCAGGCAATTGCATCATTCCTCCCTCCTACATTTTGTGAGAGAGTTCACGCTGGTACCAAGGAATTCTAGCTTGACTCCAAGCTCAGGGCCTATTGAGAAGCAAAGAATATTAGCTCAGTGCAATACTAATATGGCTTTACAGTTTCAATGAATCCTTTGCAGCTGTGGGATGACCAAAATTACTCCCAGAGAAACTCCATGAATACTGCTGAAAATCTCTTGGCATTCTGCCCTAAAAAGTACATCTGAAATTGTTCAGTCCAGTGCAGTTAAGCTATGGGAAATTTTAAGAAAAAGTTCTGCAACTCGGGATGTGGGTGTGATTCATCCTGCTTCGGGCATAAAGATGGCACTTTCACATATCTTAAATATTCATTTACAACTGAAAGAACTTCAGATTTTTTTTCATAAAAATCACTGGCTTTTAAAAAGAGAATCAACATCTCTAGTAAAATGTCCAGAAACCCATGCATATGATCATTAACTAACTGGAATCAGAAACTCTTGAAATACGTACTAATATTTCTGCTTTACTTTAAGTAACATAGTAAAGGAAAGTCCTTCATTGCATTGCTTAATGAGAAACGTTTAATACCCCATTTTTCTTGTAACAAGTCTTGGATTCAGTGCCTGACAGAGGGAATTACCTTTTGTACATTATGTTTGCAGATTTTTTTTATTTTCCTTTGAAATGGTCCTGTTAGCATAGATAGCATTGTTCCAGTGGCTTCCTTTCTTCCTGAAGGGTGGATGAATAAGAAAATTACCTTTTTATTACTCATAAGGGGCAGATTTACTGCACTGTATAATTCAGTATGGGTAAAGATTACTAGTATACAATATCAGTGGTAATTTTGTAAATTATGCAAGTAGATTACAAGAACATTTTTGAACACAGATCTCAATAAAAACAAATCAGTTTTTTATGCCAAGAAAACCAAAAAATGACATACAAAAGGGGAAATATTCTATTTTAGGTACAGCTGATGCTAAAATATCAAAAATAAAGAACTACTGTCAAAAGTATCAGCAAAAGTGGATTTATTGAAACTTGTAAAAATGCTTTTCCAAAAAAGTTCAACAACAAGGTTTACTGTATTACTTATTGCACACAGAATCTAACAGTGACTCAAAGCTGCCAATAGAAAAATCAGAGGTGCCAATACAGAAAGCTTAGTGTGCTGTAATACCAGGTAATGCATGGTATCTGTCACTTACCAAAGACCTGCACTTAGTGGTAGGTCTCTCTGCCTTGAGGAGCAATCTTGAGAGGTGTCCCAGCTCAAGGGAAGATCCCATGCAGCCAGTTGTTCAGCAGAGAGAGCTCAAAAAATGCTCATTCAGGCTGTCATATTCATGGAATAAAGTTGTTGGCTTGTAGCCAAACTGCAAGCAATGGGACGGGTATGCATGAGACTTCTTGCATTCACAACTTTCCTTGTTCCTTGACAAATGAGTCTTAGAAAAGCCACCTGCTATTAACATGTTATTCACGGATCAGTGATCCAAGTTCATATGCACCAATGCTCATCCGCGTCACTCCATTCCTTTGTGGATTTTCAGAGAACAGACTGGAACTACACAAGTTCCCGGCCTTGTTATGGCTTAGGCTGTTACCTCCTTTTGGAGCCTGTACTAGCTACCCCTACTCTGGTTAAAGAGTTGAGTGTATCTGTCACACTCAGCCAGTTTGTCCAGGTACTTTCAGCCAGGCACAGAGACTCTATAAGAAGAATACAGATAATTCAAAATAAATCAGTTAGTTACTGGCTAACAGACAGAAGACTGGGTAGAGTTTAATGAGCTACTAGACAAAGCATTAGTATACTTGCCACTCATGTTAAGCTATCCAAGAAGTCCTTGCTGGGCAGGCAGGCATGAGACAAAAGGGAAGGAGCCACTATCCATCTATCCATGGTTCTCTGTAAAGGAATCCCAACACTGCCAACCTGCAATCCTCTGCCAGCTCCACCAACACTGACAACACAACATAAGGATTGACAAGTCTCCAGTTAGACTGGCTAGCTTGACGAGGTTTGTCCGGGTGATTTTTACCTTTGTGACTTTATACCTTTCCATGCTGGTATTTTCCCTCTGAAACCTCCGAATATCAACATCTCACGTCAACAGCCCAACTTTCAAATTTCTCTACTGATGGCAGACTTTCATAGCAGTCTGGATCAAGATTATGCAGCTGTGTCATATCAGAGATGACACATACACAGTCAACTCAGCACCTAGGAGAGGTGGGGTGAAATTCAGAGCTGTGGTTACAAAGGAGGAGTGTGCCAGGTTGGACTGGATGTCTTCTAGGCCTTTCCAGAGTTATGATTTGGTATACAGAGAACTTTGGTATCTAATTTTAGATTCTGTAGATTCTGTGGTACTTGACACATTGTGCTGCCAGGGTCTTTTGTGGATTTACCTTTGTTCTTCTCATTCTACTTCAGCTGGCTCTTCTCAAATATGAGAAACTTGGTAACCTGCATTTTGAAACACTTTATGACCAGGCATGAAATTCCTTACAGACATTATTCCATAACTTATTAGGGGTTCTGGGTACTAATTGAACATTATTTCTAGATAGCAGTGAATTCATACGTTCATAAGCAAGCATTCAAAGAGTATGCTAACGCATTGTTCATTCTGGATCTTATGGATCATGCGGATCAGTGTGAAAACAGCATCAGAGCCTATCACTGCTACCCAAAAAGAGAGGCAAGAGAGAGCCACAGCAGAGTTAAAATGATTCAGAAAATGTTAAATATATAAATGGATTTTAACAGGTATCTCCATTAGAGACATAAAAGAAAAATATTTTCGAACCAGATGAGAGTGCTCAAAGCAGAAAAATGAGTTAATACATTACCTTTAAAATAGTATGTGCAAAAATTTTCTAACTCACGTTTTATGTATTGCATGTCATTCAAATCCCACTTTCAAATATACAGCTGATAAATTTTCAGGAAGCTTTTCCAATTATACTGCCTAGAAATATTAGAGAAAAGAACTTACTAGCATATTGCAGAGAATTGTTAACAAACATAAGAGATAAAAAAAGGCAAAAATTTTGGCATCCAATTTTAGATATCTGTGATTTGCATTTTCAGTAAAACTAAGCAGTTAGATGACCTTTCAAGTACTTACTGCTCTGAGTCCTGACACAACAGTGAATATCCTGTCGTGGTGCCTCTAGACCAGCAGGCAGGCAATGAAAAATGAGTAACTAGTGACCCTCTGTGAAAAGTTCAGTTTACATGACTCACACAAGATGCACAGGAACTCTTGAAGCAATAGACACAATTCTCCAGAATAAGGCTAGAAGAAGAACAGAACAATCCTTTGTTTGAGTAGAAAGCAAAAGCCTCATAAGAAAATGGAATACCTAACTAAGAAGCAGGGTGTTACTTGACCGAGTGAAGTATGAGAAATCACTGCAATAAAACGTGGTAGGGAACAATTGGCTAGACAGCAATTCAGAAGAGAAGGATCAAGGTGCTCAAGTGATTCACAAGCAAAGTGTAAGTGAGCCACACTATGCTATTACAAAAAAAATGGCAAACTATATATTAGGAGATTTAAAAAGTAATATAACCTATAAGGCTGAACTTTGCAGATCACATCTTCCTGACCAAAAGCAACCAAGCTTCAAGAATATAAGATAATCCAAAGGAAAGTAAGGAAAGCAGTATCCTAATAGGTACGCTATGTTTAACCTATAAACATAGCTGAGGAAAAAGAAAATAAAAGACAGAAGACCTCTTTCATGTAGAAGTGCTACAAACTGGAGAAACCTTCACCACGAACACCATGACAAGGATAAGCAGCAGCTTTAAGCAAAACTTTCTTGTGTCACACTGTACTTCCCTGACTGAAACCAGTCAGCTGGTGACCCTCAGATGAAGGGCTGGGTAACAGATACAGTCAACTCCTGGTCTCCCTTGATGCTTTATGTGATATTGGGAGTGGAGAGTTTAACCTTACTCAACGTGGTTTCTGAGAGAGATTCCACGCGACAGCTGCATGCGAGAATGTGGAGCTGCACCAGACTGGTTACGACCCCGAGCCCTGCTGCAAACACCAGGACACCTCCTCACCCCGTCTGCCTTCCTGGCCAAAGGGACCGCTCCTGCCTCCCGGAGCCAGACCAGGGAGACACAGGTATCCCGGGCCACGACACCAGAGATGAAGGAGCCTTGGAGACATCATTCTTGCCTGCGGTTTCCGTCTGTTGGGAACTTGAAGGGTCGGGAAAGTGTCCATTCTCTGCCCCTCAAGGCTACCCCTGCCTGTCCCCCTGTCCCTGCTCGGCTCCCCCTCCGGGTCCCCGCCCGGACCCTGCAGCCCCTCCACGCCCCGGGGGCACCGCGGGCTCCTGGAGGAGGGGACGGAGGGCAGCCCGTATCCTGTCCTCGGGAAGCCAGCCAAGGGAACAGGCCGCGCTTCCCGGAGAGGGGGCGGGGGGGGAAATTCCCGAAGCTCAGCTCACCCGGCTCGGCGAGGTGGGAGGAGGCGCCGCCCTGCCCGGGGAGGGGCGGCCGAGCCGCTTCCCGGCACTGGCCGAGGGGCCGGCGCGTCCCGGCTCGGGGGTCCCGTCTGTGCTCGGTCCCGAGGTGGCTGCGCTCGGCTGCAGGTGAGTGATGCCGGTGTTCCCTGTCCCTCGTTCCCTCAGCAAAGCCCCCCTCCCCTCCCCTGCCCTCCCTCGGAGGTCCCGTCCGCCCCCGGCGAGCACCGCTCAGCCTGCCCCGCCGAGGAACACCCACCTTTCCACCGCGGCGCTTGTTTTGAAACGCGCGGTGGACTTTCTGCTTTGAATTTTAGCTCTTCTGGTGCCCGCTAAGCCCTCTCCACCCTTTGCTTTTCCTTCAGCCCGTCTTCTCCAGGCACCCCTCGACACGAGTGGGTGGGCTTGAGTGCGGGGAGCCGAAATTTCCATCCTCCCGAGACCCCGCCAGCATCATCACACACCGGTGAATTTAAGGCAGTTTATGATCGCCTAGCCTTTTCTACTTTCAAGATGTCACTGCTTAGCTGCAGCTTAAAAGCTCCTGATTTGACCTGAGCAAAAATTACTTAGGTGAGGTATCTCGTGGGACGAGGATGCTAGACCTGCCAGGTGATTAGGTTTGGTTTTAACATCTCTTGTTCCTGCTGATTCAAGAAGACTTCTGGACCTTTAAATCCAGCATCATACAGAGAAAAATTCTTGCTCTTAATTTCTTTTAAGCTGCTGAAATTGTTTCATTGTTTAATTTCAAAATCATTGGAGTAAGTGAGAAAACATCATAAATTCTAGTCTGGTTCCTGATTTTTTAGTTTGACTTTTTTTTTACTTTTTTTTTCCTTAAAACTTTTTTGGCATAACCTTTTTATTTCTCTTTCCATCTAAATATTGCATGCTTAGACCAGTCCCTACTCCAGGGCGGTAAACTAGATCCTAGCAGAGTTAAGAGTAGATGATGCCTGAAAAACATGGTAAAATTATTTTTCCTGTTGTATGAGTCATACCACCATGTTGTGTGATTCCTTCTCTACAATTTCTCACATTCTTTTTCTGATAGAGCAGGAGAAGAGTAGTTTTACACAGTTTGTTAATTGCTTTGGGTTTAGACCCCGTTTTTTCCCTATTTTAACTTTTTTGGTTTTTTTGTTCAGATTCTAGTCTTTGTGGGACCATGAAGTACATATTTTCTTACTTTGGCAAAGCTTTTTAGAAAATCAACAGAATGCACTAAAGAGCTTTCTGTTTACCAAAACACAGGAAACAAAGCTACCTCTAAGTGGTCAAATTATTATGCACATATCAGACCTTAATTATAGAAACTACTTTCTTCCATGTGCAGCTTTTTAAACTTCTTGCTCACCCATTAGATTTCAAAGGCTTATCAGGAGCTTTAATGGTGTTATACATAGATGTATTTTGTGCACTAAGTGTAGCTGAAAACATCTTTAAAAGAAGAAGGCAAGTACAAGGACTAATGAAATTATTAATCCACTTTAGAATGTGGTATCTCAGCTGTTGCCTTTTTTTTTTTTCATAACTATTGAAAAGCAGATATTCTATAAAAACTGTGATGTTTATTTTGAAGAGGGGTCTATTTAGTTGTAGGATATTTTAGCAGATGTTACTTTACCAACTCTGCCTAGATACCTGATGGTTAGACGCTGCTCCCTGTTTCAGTTAAAGCTGCCTGAGTTGCATGTCAGCTCTGCACTGCTGATTTTGCAAAGGATATACTGGGAATGGCAGGAATCAGGAGAGTGGAGGCACACTACTTTGTAGGGTCTTTTACAAATCACTGATTTGGGGCATTCTGGTCCTTTTGAAACGTACCTAGTTATCTGTTTATTTAAGAGGAAAAAAACCACATCAGGAGGGTAAGTTAATCTACTGGATTGGCTTACTTTCTAGGGGTGCCTGTTTGGAACCTATGGAAAGAGCTTATTAGGTTTTGGCACTTAAATGTCACTCAAATGTTATCAGTCTTGTGTAGTAGGAACTTGGATTGTGATTCCTATCCTCATCCTCATGAAATAGAGGAAATTAAAACATAATATGAACTATGGATTTATATAAATCCAAATTAGTATTATTACAGTAGTTGCCTCACTGACAGTCTTCTTCCATGTCTGGTTTAGAAAAATTTGTTTGATCCATGGTGGTTATGATTTGATATCTAAAACTCTAGTACTTTAAATAGATTAAGTTTTTTGAATGCTAGCCACTGAAAAAATTTCTTTTCCCAGCCGATGTAGAGACTGTGGTTCATTTAAGGATATGGCTTGTGTTGTTATGGCCTTGTTACAGCAGCTGTTTTAAATAAGCAAAGCAAGGGGAACTGAGAAAGGAAAGTTGTATGAAATATGATTTGAAATATGTGCCTGTAGGAAGATTGCTACAAAACAGATTAACACTGCAGTCAACTATGACTAGATGTTCACAGGAGGGGCTTCTTTTCTGTACATATCCAGGTATTCCAGGTACTGCAGCAGTGTGTGCACCATATGGCTCCAGCTCCCAGCCAATGACCCCTGGATACTGCAAGGCTGATATTGTAAAAGGTTTCAGTTGAATTTTGGTGCTTCAAATACTTCAAAGAGGGGTTTGATGAAATGTTTATCTTAGGTGTGTTTCACAGATGAATAATGAGAATTTCTTTTTCCTCTCATCTCTGGCATCACAAAGGCATTGGCCTGGACAGGACTACAGGGATCATCTAAACCAGACTTTTGCTCTGAATGAGAAATAGTTAACATGGAGATACTTATTTAAAATATTCACAAACTTAAGGATATTTCATTTACTCACAGGTAATTTGCTTCTATGCTGTCTCTACTTCTTGAGTGATTCTTCTTTAATTGTAAGGTCTCTGAACAATTCCTGTTGCTTCTGAATATTATTGCAATTTCTATCAGGTCTCCAAAATGATTCTGTTCTGTTGAAGTATCTGTCAGTGCTGATTAATTTCAAGTTAGGCTAGGGAGACCTGAATCCATCTGTATCTGTTTTGTCACACTCCAGGTTACGTTTTCCAACAGGAAGAATTACCAATAGACTATACAGTCATGGTTTTAAAAAAATCTATCAGTGATTTAGGCTGCAGACTGATAAAACCAAAAAGGTCTGCTTTATTTCCCCCACAGATTTTTAATTTTTGAAAGGGGAAAGAATATAGGGTAAAGTGAAAGATTCATTGCTCAGCCAACTTCTCTAGGTCAAACAGATCATTTTGTGCCCAGCTGACTTCAATTTGCAACTTAGTGCTATCCCCCATTTTATAGATCATTTCTCAATGTGTCTCAATAACCAGGTTCAACACAGAAAATAGAGATGTAATTAGTGTTGCTGTTGATGGCAATGAGTTGGAGCTTAGTGATTATTTCCTTCTATTTGGTACATATGAGGCAATGTCTATATTACTGTGTGCAGTTTTGGGCTCACTGTACAAAGAAGGCTGAAAAGACAGAGCTAAGATTTTTGCAGAGGTGCGCAGCAAAAGGGCAAAACAAATGGGTGCAAATTGCACCAAGGAAAATATAAGGAGAAATATGAATATAAGGAGAATATAAAAAGATATTCTCTTTAAATGAACATAAGGGGAAAATGAATGTTTGAATATAAGGAGAAAAAACCCTCACAGGGAGGGTGGTGAAGCACTGGAGCAAGTCACCCAAGGGAAGCTGTGGAATCTCCATTCCTGGAGTTCTTGAAAATACAATTGGACAAACTGCTCTGCAATTTTGTGATAGGCTGAAAAATGCCTTTCCAAAATTATCTCAATGACAAAAGTAGCTAGAAAGGAAATAAAGTATTCAAATAATGTGTTTCCAGACAATATTCAGAGTTGTTGACAAAGAACGTCTTGCTCTTATCTGCAATTCATGGACCTAAGTACACATATGTTTCAGGTTGGAGCATGGTGACAAAACATGTCTTCTCTTAGGCTTAAAAGGAAAGAGCCACCAGTAATTAATTCTCAGATTAACAGTGGCATAATGGTGTGATATTCATGTCTTTTCAGATTGGCCTCTTTCAGGGTGATAAATTGCTTAGACACTTAACCTCCCCTGACTACCTGTCTTCGTTCCCTTTGTTGTTCAATTATTTTCACTTTTGGCAAGGATGTTGTTAATTTATTGTCATCATGTTGTTGTTGTTTTGATGAAATTGATAATGTATTTTATGAAACTGTAACCAAGACACGGATTTTTAAACTATTATTTTATAAAAGTACTTAATTATTTATAAGACAGAATAAGTGCTTGATATTAGTTGGTGGTAAATGTGATGTGTGATTAATTTGCTAGTTGGAGGCAGATGCTTCTGCATAAAGATGATGTAATGCAAAATATTACTCATGTTTCTCTTACCATATTTTTTTTTCCTAAATAATGTTTCATTTATTTAAATTTACTTCATATTCTCTTTTGTTAGTGAATTCTAGGACTTCTCTGATGACAACTGGTTTGTTGCCTACAACTACTCATATTACCACTATTTATTTATTATGCAGTTTTAAACTAGAATAATAACATACTGAATAGTGAAAACCATTGTTATAATCCAAAATATATTTATATTTTGGTAATAATTTATTATATTACACTGCCCTTTAGTAGCATAAGGTGTTTTCACCAGTAGAAGTGATCTAGGCAGTGTCATTTGTGAACTGACAGTGGAAATGACTGGAGCAAGATAGTTACATTAGACATTTGTTTCATAACAATAATAGAGAATACCTCTTAAGAGTGTAAAAGAGTTTAGATTTGTTTTCTAAACAGGATGTAATTTAAACAAATAGTCTAGTATTTCATTACTTCCACAGCACTTTCCCGCTGTATTTGGTGTCAAATTTAAATGATGCCTAATAAATAGGCCAAATTTTGTGTGTCCAACCCGAAAGATGTTTACAAAATTACAAGTCCTGTGAGGCCAGCTTTTCATCATGCTCATATAATAAACTCAGAAGATATATTGCTGAATTAATGGACCACCCTTGTGTTAAATTGTTTTAGAGCAGAAATTGAGTCCCTGGACTTCAAGGCAGTTGTATTTTTACTGGTTTTTTCCAAAGAAAAGAGGAGGGAAAAAAAATATTCAAGATTTGGCTTTGTGTCTCAATATTAATTTCAAACAATTCAAAAGAATGACAATCTACTAAAGAGCTATCAGAAGTTTTAACATAATCTGCTTTGGAAGGACTTTTTGTGTCACTCGCACTCTCTGCTCTGTGAGAAAGAGCCATTCTATCTTGTTTATTCCAGAAAAAACGTAACAAATTATTTTACCTTTAAGATATAAAATTTGATCACGTGACAAAAGAGTCTAAATTTAGAAAATCTAGAAAAAAAATCAGATTCCCCTAAACCAGTTCTTGGAATGGTCTGTTAGTTGCATGTGAATTAGGGCTAGCTTCTCAAAAATATTTGGATTCTTCATACATGTTGATTTTAGTGTTATTTAAATACTTTTGAGGATATTGGTGTAATGGCAAGAAAGACTGCAGAAGCCTATACATCGGGCAAGACAGCACTCACACGTTAAGTACAGGGCCCTCCATGTGAAGCATTTGAACTCACAAGGAGAATTTGGGGCGCGCTGCAGCAAGGATACCTGCTGTGTACATTGAACTCTGGGTTACAGTGCTGTGTGCAGGACTCTTCTACACAGTGTTCATGTGACCTTTAAAAACACATTGAAAAAAAAAAGAAATTGGAATCTGCTGATCCTTTGGAGAAATTCAGAGCTTCTCAAAAACATTGAAGGTAACTAAATTTGGTGAAGAGTCTGTGGCTCTGAGGTATTAAACTGGAGGTTTTCTGCTGGAAATAAATTATGTAGTGAATTCCTGGCCCTTCTGAAATCAGTAAATGTTCTGTCCTCAGCTTTATTTTATGGGGACAGGTCATTCTGGTTATCTGCTGCTAAGCATTTTCAACTTCTGTTATGGAAGCAGTGATAGAAGACTCACTTTATCAGTATTCTACACAGCTCCAGGAATGTAAAACATAGAAGCTCTAAGTTAAAGATAGCTATGTCCATTGTCCTGTTCCTGTTGTTTGTACTCTGGTACCCTCTCTGCCTGAGATCTTTAACCATGCTTCTGCTGAATACTTTCCTCTCCTTTCTGCAGAGGGGAATTTGCAGGTGATTCATGTCTTCTGAGATCTGACATACGATCAGCCCTGCAGAACTGGGCTGTGCAAGTCAAACACAATTTCTCTCATTCTGTCAAAATATGAGTGTAAAAGCTACAAAAAGAATGTTAGATAGAGCTCTGTGTTTCTTGAGATGACAGTCCAGGAATTTGCTAAGACTTTGATATGTGTATTTCAACTCCAGTGTAACTAAAGCGCTCCATATAGTGTCCTCCTGAATACTTTTTTTTCCTTGTTAGGATGGATAACTTGTTACCTGTGCAGGAGGAAAGCCAAAATACATCAGGAGAAATGTTTGATTCAGTATTTCTTTGAAATAAGTGAATGGAAAACTTAGTTTAGTGATTTATTAGTTTAGACTCAATTGAACTTTTTGACTGTAGTGTTTCTCCCTATGCTCTAACCAGGTCCTAAAACCAGGAATGTTTTTTTTATTCCCTATCCTTCTTTGTCCATTCTTCCTGAATTTATCTTAAACTGCCTGGAGTTCACGTGATTAGGTTTTTATTTGTTCATTCTTAAATACTGTAATATTATCTAGTCTATTGTTTGGCATGCATTTTTTCTTAAAAAGAAAACAACAAACAAATAAAAATGTCTTCTTTGCTGATAAATCTTGTGCAGGAAAAGGTGGACAAAGGATGAATCACTTCATGGTTCTGGCACTTCTGCTCCCCCTACAGACTTACTACGCTGCATACTCACAGCAAGGTAAATGTCTGAACGTTTGATTTCTTTTTATTTGAAACCAGCAGTTTGAGTCTTTGGACTTGTTTACTTGTAAGTCTATGATTAAGAAACATGTTATACACTTGATAAATTATTCTCTTTTGTTAGGTGGTGGAGCAACTTGTATTATTACCTTTTGTGACCCCATTATGCAAAATTGCCTGTTGAATCAATAACTTGCAAAGATACGAAGCCAAAGTGTATTTATTTATTTGCTTCCCCTCGTTCTTTTTTTGACTTTTTTTAATGATTCCATTAGAAGAAAAAAAAAAAATTGACTTTTCTGGGACTGTGGTTAAGAAGGCAAACCTTACCTGGTTCTAATCTATATTATGGAAGTTTTATTGCCTTAGTTAAGTTGGCGAAGAAAGAAGTGAGATGGGTTTTTTTTTGTATGAATATATTTGTTGTCATTCTGAAAGGGGTAATGTATCTGTTTCAGACATTTTGCCTCTCTTCAGCCTTGAAATTTGTGTTTTCACATGCCGTTCACCCAAGGTGCCAGCTCTCCAGTTTTGAGACTTTATTACCAGTGCTCCCAAGAGTGGCAAAACTTTGTAATGCAGGCAAGTCCAAACAGTTACTGCATTACAGTAACTTGGTCACTTGTTTTCACATGCAATTGTTCAGGAATAAAATTCATCTCTGCTGTTAATCATTAAGCTATTCACATAGTCTTGAGTTAGCTTTCAAGTTAAAACAAGTCTTTTAAAGAGGCCTTGATCATTTCAGTTTGCTAGGAGGGGAATATTGTAACTGAATGCTACAAACGTTTCTACGTGTTAAAATTATGCTTCGAAATTCTTTCATACCCACATTGTAACTCAATGACCATCAGGATGTTGGATATAACCTTGACTGTATTGTTTCTTCTGTTTGTTGGTACTGTGTGTAAGCTCTGACTGGTGATCTAGACTGTGTTATGCCAGCCTACGTGGAAAACAATATTGTGTGGTGTCTGAGGTGATATGTCATGTAGCTGAAAAGAGATAATGTTTTGCACAGATGGATTGAAAACCAGAAACTAATGAGACCTTTCTGGTTTTTATCAAGTTAACTATATGTGGCAGGGAAAATATTCTCCATCTTGGAAAAAAAGAAAAAATATTTTAGTTTGGACAAAAAGAAACAGATGTAGAGAAGAGAGGAAGGTTCATCATCAATGCAATAGGCATAGTAGTGACACTTGCAATTAGAATTGGCTGAAGAAAGAGCAGAAAAAGGGTAGGGAAATTCAGAAGATACGCTGGGGTTTGTTTTAATGCTGCACCCTGAGAAAGGAAGTGTTTTCTGCCAACTTTTCTTTCAGGTATATTTGTTTCTTTTTCCTGTGCAATTTACCTTGTTCCTGTGAATCTCGTTGAGAGACCAACTGGATCACTTCCTTTTTGCAGTTCCTTTCTCCCCTAGTTGCTTCAGCGCTGCAGACAGAAAACATGATAATGTCAATGCCCAGAGCTCTAGATCAGCCACCTACTTGTGTATGTGAAATGAGATCTCTTAAGAGGCTTGGTGCATGGGGCTTCAGGTCAATGGATGATGAACATACAAGTAAGGTTGATCAGAAAATGAGCAGCAGAATTACGTACTGGAGAGGACCAACATGACAGTCAATTCCTTAGCATAAGTGGGATTTTAACTGCCTTTATCTTGTTTTGATGGTGAAAGTCCATAAAATATGGGGAAATGAAATGTGTCTTGTCCTACCTTCCCAAAATAAAGTGAGATACTCCATTTCCACAGTTAATTTTGTGGCTCATTGTGCTGTTTTGGTTGCTTCGGCTTCTTGCCTAGTCTGTTGTTGGCAGTGAAGCTAATAATATTTCTTTTTTCCAGTAAAACATAAAACTGATGCTCTACCATCATTCAGTGAAATTTATCCCCAGGCCTTCCACCTTGTTTATTCAGCTTCAGGCACTAGTTGTCATAGGTAGTTGGTTTCCTTATGGCAGGATAATACTGATACCTGTCACTATTCAAAAACAGCCATGAAGCAGCAGATATGTTTATTAAGGACGGTGTCATAACTATAACCAAAAAGGAAATTTTTACATCTGCACTTAAAACAATTTGCATGTACCTCACAGAAGACACTAATGCTGTCAAATTCTGCTTTCACATTATTTACACACGTAAGTAATTTCTGAGTAATTATTTAATAAGGCTGCAAGGAAAAAAGATAGAAAGTGTGTTTGCACATACGTATGCCTATATTTCTTCCTCCAAAATGTTTTTTGGATACCAAGTGTTTGAACAGTGAAAACTTGATTTTTCCTTCCCAGTTTATCTGAAGAAGTGTATACCAGTAGTTTCCTCTAGATTGAGAACATAGGGTTTTCATTTCGCTTTGAATTCTAGTACCCTTCAAATGGAATAGGTTAAAAATATACCAACAGAGTTTGTGGATGGTTTGCTAAAAGAGAATCCTTTCTTCCAGCAGGTACTAATAGTATAATGTATTCTTCGGTTATAGGCTGGACTTGTCTAAACAACTAAGCTGTGTCAGTGTCTATATTCTTATAATTATCAAATATGTTTTTAAGGTTTTATTTGCTTCCTTTGAGTGATCAGAGATTGTTACAACTGCAGCTTCTCTAGAGCCTTTCATTCCCTAAGCTAATGTAAAAATACATATGTAGGGAAAATGTTGCACAGAAGTTAGTGCAGAGTAGACACCACAGGATAACCTGTGAAGGTCTCAGGTAATTTAGTGGCTGAAGCCCATCTGGGTAACGAGTGGAGGTGGCAGCTTTGTAGGAAGGATCTACTGAGGTCTCTCAATCCGTTGTGTCCATGGGGACTGTGGTGTCACAGGAATGTGCAGAATGAGTTGTGTTTTATTAAAAGATGCAGCTAATTCTGTGACTTCTTTTCCCTGTTGTAGTCTGTATAAACATTCTGCCCCTGTCATTTGTAACAAGCAGAAGCACCTTGGAAAGCAACTGTGGCAAAAGAAAAAGCCTAGGTACTCGGCCATTCCAGCTCCCTGGCTTTATTAACAACCAGATCAAGCTTAGGGGGTTTCTGTTTGTTAATTTTTCAGGAAGGAAAGAAGTTACAAATCAGTGAGTGTTGTATTTCATCTCTTCTAAGACTCAGGATTTTTTTGGGAGGGGTGACAAAACAAACATCTAAAAAGAGGAACCACTTATGAGGTTATCTGAAGTTTTCAGCAGAATTATGTTCTTACAGGGCCTTTCCTTTCCTAAAAGCAAGAGACTTTAGTCTGACTTTTAAACTTTATTTTGTTATGGGAATTAACTCCAGACCCACAGAATGATGGAGGTGCCATTAGAACTAGGTGTCTAATTCCAGTAGAAGAATCCACAGCTCCAGCTAAGGTACCTAAGCTCTTTGTAGAGCAACCAGGAATGTGCTTAATACTAAAATGTCATCTGAGCTAGCTGCTGGAGGGAATCTCTTGATCTGTCCTCTTCAAATACTTGTTTTGCATTAATTTAATATGAATTATGTCAGAGATCAAAACTGAGCCCAGAGTTTCTGTCCTAAAGATAAGAAGGCTTGCTGGGATTGGGATTTCTTGGGATTTAATCTCTATTAATTCTTTATGTTGTTCCTCTTAAAAGAAAATATGAAATGATGGATCTGTATTCCCATAAAATAGCTAGTAAGTTGAGAACATAAACAAATTAAATAGCATACCAAATGTCATGGTAGGGAGAGCTACTGAGATTCAGGAACCTCTTTTTAGCCTGCTGGTTCTTAAAGATGAAAAATTATCTTTGATTTTTTTTTTTTATCAGCACCATTTTCTTGATCAGTTTTGGTTTTTTCCTTCAGAACCGTCTAGTGGGGAACCTATCTTATCTCTAACCACTGTTGTTTCAGATCTGTTTTGTAATTTAGCTAAACAGCGATGTTTTTGTGTCCTTTTTGTGCTCCTAGGATCCGATGTGTTTCCAGTAACGTACCTTAATGTTTCCAAGGATTTGGCTCTCCAGAAGCTGCTGGTGGAGTGGGATGTTGACAAGTCAGCACATGATGCTAAGCTGGCAATGTCTTTTGAAATACAAGTCAGTCGAACAAGTGAAACTACTGTGTGGACTGTAAGTGTACTTTGAAAAGAAGTATACCAGTCCTTTACAATATAAAGGAAGCTAAAGGAAAAGGAAGAAGTAATGATGTCTCTTTGCAAAGTCCCTATCCTGGTAGTGTTCCTTAACACTTAAACCAGCCAGATTTTCTGAAGAGGAGTAGATCACTCAATTCGTAGGCTTAGGCCTGTTCCAGATGTTTTCCCCTTTTTGTGACTTCAGTGTGAGAACAGTCTCCAAAGAAAATTTCCTTTCCTTTGAGTTTGACAAAACCTTTTGGAAATTAAATGCCTGTTTTAGTCATATTTTAACCTATTATGAGTCACCTGTTCAGTGGACTATGGAAGAATATGAAATGCTCATATTAAAACTTAGGAAAACTGGAAAACTGCACTGGCTCATTTAAAGTTGCTATTTGTGAGAAAGCACATAAAACAGAGAAGGGCTTATTTTGTCAGAAATCAGTGATCAGTAAATAAAATAAGAGAGGCACTGTTAAGAATCACAGTTTACTCTGATCAGCCAAATATTTGGTCTAAAAGTCTGAAGAACCACATTTCACTGCAGATGAGCCCTATGCGGTTGCAAAGATTTTTACCACTTTGATGTGCTGGATAGGATTTTTAACACCCTGTGAGTAGATCTAAACCTGAAGTCAATAACTTGGGCCTTATAGCTACAAACAATTAAGTTTTGGGGGTTTTGGAGTATCCTTCCATAAACTCTTATTAACTTGCTGGAAGGGAGTAAGAGCTTTTCAAATCCAAGGAGGTAGGGTGTTCTGTTACTTGTAAAACATGACAAGGAAAACAAACAGGTTGCTTTGGACGTCACTACCACACAAGAATGTATTTGCTTCTGTGTTTTTCTGAGGAATGCGTACCAAAGAAACTCTGTGAGTTTGCTCCTACCAAAGCACAAACAACCCATGTAACTTCCAAAGCAGTGATTGCATTTCTCAGGGCTGTAACTGAGAAAGTAAATTTTGAACTGATTGCAGAGTTTCTCTCAGAGAAGTAATAGTATGCAAGTGCAGGTGTTGCTGATGGGCAGCAGTACTAGAGAGCAGTTCTCTAGTAGTCAGTGTGAGCCAGGGCTTTGGTACAACCCATACAAATAGCACGGATCTATATGGTGAAAATCTGGTATGGTTGCTTTAAAAAGTACAAAATATATAGAATCATAGAATCCTATAGGTTGTAAAAAAATCTTTAAGATCATTGAGTCAGACTATTAATCTGGCGCCACCAAGTCCACCGCTAAACCAGGTCCCTAAGTGCTGCATCTACATGTCTTTTAAATCACTCCAGGGATAGTGATATGTAACACAGGGTACATTTGTAGGCAACATCTGTGCATGCTACTACTCATGTAATACCAAGCACAAATAACCTACTGAAGGTCTCTGAGAGCAAATCCATGTCATGAGAAGTAAGGCCTGACTCACAAATATGTCAGCATATCAGTCACCCGACTGGTGCTGGTACAGATCTGTAACTAGTTAATTAGCTAATAGTTACTTAGTATGAGATCATAGGTAGTGAGTGAGATTTCAGAGTTTCATTTTTCAAAAGCATTTTCCTCCTTTGAGCTTCCTCTCTCTCACTGCCTTTGATTGTATTTCCAAATGCAATGTCTACACAGTGTCTACACACTGTTGTCTTTTCAATACTTTGTCTTCCTGGTCTTTGTTTGTAGGGGTTTCATAATGTCACACTTGATAAATTAGGAAAGCCTCTTCACTGGACATGGCATTCAGACATACCTTTGGAGTGTATGTCTCATGCAGTGAGAATCAGGAGCAAAGCAGAAAGATCAAAAACCTGGAGTCAGTGGAGTCTGTGGGAAACCGTCTTGGGTAAGTAAAACAAGATTTTGCAATATTCACTTTATATTTTTCTAGTACAAAGCTAGTTTTTAATTCACCAGTGCCTGTAATTGTGAAGGACAGTTCAGGAGAGGTGGCATCAAATCAATAATCCATTTTGAACTCACAAATCTCTAAACTAACCTTTTTGCTGGCAATAATAGCAGTGCTTCAACCATTGTTAGAATTTGCAGACTCTTCCTAAACCAGTAGACCAAAAAGTTTCAGAGCTTTTTTTTGCCCATGCATTGAAGCAGTGTAGTACATGGAGTGGCATGGGATCTTGGATAGCCTGTAATATAATCTGTCACCAGGTCAAACACATCCCTTCCCCGCACCTGGGGAGAGGAGACGAAGTGCATTGCTATGGCTGCATGACCTGATGCATGTGTTGCTTTTGCCTGGCTTCGTAGTTTTGATTAGTGTTACAGAAGCAGAGAGAAAGGAGCAAGTCAGCTCCTTATGTCGCCTGGAATGAATAAGTCAAGTCCTTATGTCACTTGGAATGAACTTCTTACGAATTCTATGAAAGTAAGCAGGGAGTGAACCAATAACGTAATTAATAATAATCAGAAAACACTTTTTTCCCTTGATTACCATGTCTTACTAGAACAGTTTGATTTCCAGAGAATTTTGTTTAAACAAAATATGAAACTGCTTTAATAAAAACTACTATAGTGATTTTATAATGAAACACTATTCTCATTTGGAGCAGCAAAGGCTTTTAGTTGGGATGAGATATGTCATGGTAGGAAGAGCATCACATGTCTTTATGCTTGGATTATGACACTTAAATTGTCCATCTCGTTCTCCTTGTAAAATAGGAAATAGGATGCAAGACTCCTTTTTTGTCTCACTAATCTCAATCTTGAAGATCTTATTTTTTCAATTGAAATTTGATAGGGTTCAAAAATACTATTTCTTGGTCACGAAGTGATCCCACATTACAGACCTGCTTTAGAGCTCTCTGAGACACAGTAACTCTAGATGTCATCAGATTTTTTGGGTCAAATTCTTGAGAGTAGATTTTATCCATGCAACATGTGTAAAAGACTGTGAGTCACTTAAATGCCGCTAATTTTTGCACCCAGCAAGCAGTCCAACATTGAAAGCCATAGGAATCTCATTCCAAGTTGAGTGTCTCCTTACTGATCTGATTCCATCAACGTTGACTCCTTTTAGCTGAGCTCTGCATGAGCTTCAGAACATGAGGTTTTTCTAGCTCCCTGTTCCTAGTCTTCCAGAGCAGGCATTTTGGCTGTAAAACATCAGCCTAGGCATAGGTACAGGAGGTGATAGTGCTCTGTAAAGGCAGGTCTTAACCTCACGCTCTTTTTTTGCCTCCAAGTGAAAAACAGCGAGATAGATTTAGTCTCCATCTTGCTGGACTACATTATATGTTTGTGAGTTTTAATAGGTATTACTGCTTGTGAAGTTCATCTCTCTATGGGGAAGAATACTAAATAAAACTCTGTGAATAGATAATAAAACATTAACAATTTCTTGAATAAATGCTGGTTGAAGGCTTTTGCCCTGAGCAGATCTTGAACTGGTTTTTTATGTATTAATTTTCAGGCCTGGACACTTCAAATAGCAGTGAACCACAAATCTTTCCAAGTAAAATAATTTTAGAGGAAGGCTCTGATATCACTTTTTGTTGCATTGGAAGGAAAGGTCAGACCATTAGGGATTTCTCTGTACTGCCAGCTGTTCGTGTTTTCAATCGCACAAACAGTCAGCTCAGACTTCTCACTGTGAAAAATGTGAGCCATCATGAAGCGCCTCACATCCATCTCTGCTGTACTTACAGTGAAGATCACTGCTCAGCTCATAAAGTTTACCTCGTGGGTAGTAAGTGAACACATCATTACAGTTCTATTTCCCCATTGTTACTAAGTCAAGAATGACTGTGGGGGGTGGGGGGAGTAAACCTTGTAACCTTGTCTTGTCCAGCTGATCTCTGTTAAAGTCTAACTTGAGATCTGTAAACTTATGTATAGAAAGCATTAAAGAATAGCATCAAACATGTTCAGATGCATCTCATTAATTGATGCTAGGACAGGTGATTGATTCTTAAATATACCTACCCATTTAGGAGTTCATCTTCACTGTCTGTGTGCCTGTGGTAAAACTCAGTTTTGGAGGCTAGTAGCAATTTTTACAGATAAAAATCAAAACAGATTAATGAGTATATGAATATAAAAAAAAGTTACTAACAAAAGTGGTTGGATTGCTATTAATTTGTTGTATTATCCTGACTATCTTGCAAACTGGTCATTTAATAAATATAATTTCAATAACATTTGTAATAAACCAGACCTTGCGCTTATCCATTATTTCTTGCTTGTTACTATATTAAACGTTGATGATTTTTGCCTTGACTGCTATGCTGTTGCTGTGTTTTTGGTTATTACCTCTGATAAGGAGCACCTGATGCACCTAAAGATCTTTCCTGCCAAACTCAAGACATGAGAATAGTAACATGTACTTGGAGCCAAGTAGGAAGCACCTATCTCTATGGGAGGTATTCACCAAAATACACCTTGTCTGCAAAGTAAGTCTCATTGTTATATTAACTCTGGTCTGTGCTGTACAGAACTTCTCTTCTTTAGAATCTGTGGAAATGTTTTTTTCTTTTTTTGTAATTAGCTGCCTACCCCTTTACACCTCACTGATCATTTATTTAACAAAGCTTGAGTGATGTAGAACTGCTCTGATTTAGACTAACTATATAAAGTAGCCTGTCCTTTAGAGCAATTTCTGCCCGGTAAAGCTTGTTCTAATGATTCTTTTAGATTAATTTGTTTGGATATCTTCCAGTAGATATGAAGACACCCTGAAATCAGGAAATAGATAACTTAAAAGTGTAATGTAGTTTCTGAGTACAGACACAACAGATAACTAGATCTAATCAGTGGTAGGCTGAGTATCAGTGTGCTAACAATCCATTGACACTAATGCTGACTCAAACTGATGATTCCCAGCTTACTCCCAGTTAGCCTGATTAGCCTCCCTTTTTCTTTAGGATTTCAGGACTTTACATGCTGGTGTTATTCTTCTTGAGTCCTTGAGCTACTGACAATCCTATCTCAAAAATCCTACTTGTGTCTATAATTTCTGTAATTTCAGCTGGCTTCTTTACTTTTTGTTTGTTTGGTTTTGGTTTTTGTTTTTTAAAGATTTCTCTGTAGACTTTCTCACAGCTCTTTCTTAGCACTCTGAGTCAAGGTATGGCAAATCAGACATGGGTCTCAGATGAGGAGAAGGGCTTTACCCCAGAGCCTGCAGGGAAACTCATAAAGCGGGACAAATCATCACAGCAAACTTTAATCAGAAGATCTCAGCAGAAGACAGGTCGTCATTGCACGTACCTTCATGGTCTCTGCATCATTCACTTCTGTTAAGATATTATGATGGTGATTTAGAAATGGAAGGTTAGAAGGTGCACATGAAATTACAGCTTTATTTTAAAGCATAATGGTAGATGTGTAAATGGTCTTGACAAGAAAGTCCCTGGTTTACAATTTCCACGAGGAAATCCCTAAAATCAATTTAGCTGTATCTTAAGAAGAAAAACTTAGACTTTTAAGAAAACTTTCATCTAAGAATACCTATATTCATTGTACTTCAGGCTAAGGGGAAGAACTGGTTAGCTTCTTACATTCCCCCTCAACCTTATTTTTTTATGATGCTGCATTCTAGTTGGACATCAAAAATTTCAACATCTATGTTGATTGTACATTATGGAAAAATGTCTCTCTTTCTCTCTTCGCCTCTGTCCCACCCGCCCCTTTCTTTGATAGATCTTCCCAGAAAATGGTTCAGTGCACACCAAGTCGTTCCAAGCAGTATGCATGTTCTTGGGATATAGGCCAGCAGAGGATCTGGAATGTCACAGTGACTGTGGAAAACCCACTGGGAAAGAAAACTGCCACGGATGTTTTTAATGTAAATCACAGAAGTAAGGTCTTTTCTGTATCTTTGTTGAGGGCTTTTTGTTGCTCCTTCTGAGCTTGATACCTTGAGTACCCTGTTTGAAGTATGGAAGATGTTGATTTTTAACTTTTCAGTTTTGCCACCTGTCCCTGTGCTATAGTTGCTCTCTCTCTCTCTTCAGTTTCAGCTTTGGAAAGTCATATTAATGGTAGAAAACAGCTGCAGGTTTCATCTGACCTCCAAAGGTCAGATTTGGTTATTGAAATGACCCCTTAATGCTTCAAAATCTTCTGCTTTGCTGAAGCTGGTTCATAGTGTAGAAAGCAATAGGATGCAAGGATATAAAATGAGGAGTTTAGAAAAATAACTGTGTAGGTTACTTGGGAATTGGTATGATATGAAATGTGATACAGGTGTAAGCAGCTATTGCCAGGAAAGAAGTGATGGTGCTAATCTGTCTTCGGCCTTGTGGGACAGCAGTGTCCATTGTGCTGCTGTAAGGGAGGAAGAGTAGTTCATCAGTGAAAAAAAATAGGTTGTTCTGTGAGCAGTAACTGATGGGTGTGGTTCCTTCTCCTCTACTAGCTGTGTCCTTTATCACAGTGTGCCCCAGGTCCCATAAGTTCCTTCTTATTCCTGCCTCAAAACAACTGGGTATTTCCTTATGTTTTATACTTTTCTCTGTTACATTTGTCTCAGAGAGGCTTGAGAGTTCTTAAAGTTTATTATTTGATTGTTTCAGAGTGGAAGAAACAGGTCAGGAAGAAAGTAGAGAAGTAAACTGACAGGTTGTAGTGAGACAACACAATGTCATAAGCTAAGTTTTCATGGGAAGTCAGGCTAAAATAGGTTACATTCAATGTGCTAAGTATGGTGGTTTGTTTTTTTTTTGCTTTTACTGCTCAGCTAAAATACCTTAAAATACTTTTGAATATATTTTACATTTTACGAGAGCTAACTAAGATTTTCGATTTGCAGTTTATCCTACTGCACCTTTCCAGGTGTGGGAAAAATGCACAGATACAGAAATCACATTATACTGGAATTATCAAAGCAGTGGAATTGAACTCTTTTGTCAGACTGAAGTGCTCCACCCCGATGGGAAAGTTGAACTGGTATGACACCTGAGTTTCAAACACAAAAATGTAGTGAGGACCTTTCTGATGTGAGATTAAAAAATAATCTCCCAACAATACAAATATACTGTAAATCTTGTAAGCATGTTGATGTGTCCGTTTTCTGGATTTGTTTGCTCCCAGGCTCCACACTGGTTATGTGGTCCATGCGGGCAACCATTGCTGGCACTAATTCACAGTCCCAAAACTGCTTATACTCTGGATGAAGTGCACGGTGTGACTGGTTTGCATGTGTGGCTCTCTGCTCTGCTGGATGGGTTCTGAGATTTGTTGGAAGTAAATGAAAACACTTGTGGATCTTACAATGGTAGTGTTGTGTAATATATATTTTATATATAATGTATAAAAGCAGTAGCTCTTACCTACTGCTGATCTTGATTTTTTATTTTTTTTATTGTTCATGTCATCTTATCCACAAGTGGTGGAGAGCTGTGTTGAAGATTTATTTTTTTTTATATTAGTCCAGGAGCTTTTTGTGTACTCTACTTGATGGTAGTGTGTCTGGTTGGTAGTGAGGGAAAGTCAGAACAGTTTTTCTTCCCATCTTCTTCCATCTCCTTGAAGATTATTTGGGTAGATTCTTTGTCTTGTTCTGCCTCTTTTGCAGACAGTGAGGCTTCTATGTAGTCCTTTCCTTAGAAAGGCATCTTGCCTCTAGCACATTAAAAAGGCATAGTGAAGATCACAGTCAAGCTGCCTTCTGTGCCAGTATTGCTCAAGAGGTCTAGCTCAAATGTGACCATTGTGGGAGATGGTTTTGAGGAGAGGCTTGAAAGCATGCTCACTTTTTTGAGTAACCAGAACAAACTCTGTCTTTTAGGAGGGAGCAGGGGAGAAGGATGGGGAAAAAATGGAAAGAAAAGGTAGCTGTAGATTACTCTGTCTAGATCTTGAACAGGATACTGCTTGCATAAAGTCATAGCCCCAGGCTCTGAGAGGGCAAGATCTCAGTAAATTCCCTCCTTGATAGAAAGAATACTCATTTGGAGAGTTGTGAGTGACTCCTGCTCAGTTACATAGCGATGACTTCCAGACCTCTTTTGGGATCTCCCAGTCTCTTCATCTCATTCATTTTTTTAATTATTATTTTTTGATTGTTGTTTCATGATTACCTTTCCCTAGTCAAGCTGAACTTGCTACTGCGGGATCTAGAGGAAGAAATTTTTTTTTTAAGACAAGAATGTCTTGCTGATGAGACTGAACTGAGCTCTGATTGTTCTGTTTTTCTGTGTTGCAGCACAACAGTTCGGACAGGCATTCCCCTCACAAGAGCATCTCCGTGGGTGGGCTGCAGCCCTACACGGAATACACAGCGAGGGTTCGCTGCGGGGCAGCGAAGCATTTCTGGAGGTGGAGTGAGTGGAGCGAAGCCCGGACTATCAGAACAGAGGAAGCAAGTATGTCCTGCCCCATGAGAAGGGAAGTTAGAGGGATATTCTTTGCTTACCATCCATCTTTGCTATTTGTTGTTACTCTTCTGCTGTGTAGCTGAAGCAGAGCCCTGTTGCGCGCATAAAAGGAGAAGCACACTAGGCAGACTTCAGGAAGGTGACTTCTTAAATAGCTCTGATTCTACCTGCTAGTCTCTGATATTTCATCCAGTGCAGGCAGCGGGAAGGCCAGGTGACTGGGAGGATGGGCAAACTGAGTTACAGTGTCTGTGAGGCCTGGAGAAATGGTACAGAGGTGGGAACAAATATCTGGGAACTGCAAGCAAAGATTTTCTATGGAAGTTAACCAGATCTCAGTTCAGAAAAAAGAATGAAGGGAAAAGATGTTAAAGGATAATGTTTGGGCAAGACCTGGCAGTGATGGGGAAAAAGAGGTATTGGGATTTCTTCGAATGGAAGGAAGCAGTTAAACTGTCTATTCTTTCTGCACCTAAAACATCTTTGTATTTTTGCTGTGTTTATTGCAGCTCCATCAGGGAAACTGGACATGTGGAGAGAAATTGTACCAGTTCTGGGGGGAAGAAATGTGACCTTGTTCTGGAAGGTGAGACATCACTACAGAAATAGAAACAAAACCCTTCATAAAAGGGTTGGAAGTTTTTCCCATGAACCTTAACAACTTTGTGTGTACTTAATAGCAATTCATTATAAAATGTCTTTTACAAATCTAAGACAGATATTATATATAATGCATCTCAGAACACATGTAGTTGTGATGGTGTACTGTCTTGGCATTTCAGACATAATTCTGTTCTTGTAAGTATTATAATATGACAAATATCATTACTGAGATTTCTTCAATTTCCATTTCAACCAGTATGTGTATGCATGTATGGAAAAAACTGTTTATATTCTTACAGAAATAATACACCTGGTTAGTTATTTAAAGTTCTAAATGTTCCTCTCATAGTTTTCCAGCAAAATTTACTAAGTTACTGTTCTCTTCCTTTGTAACTTTTTTTTTCCCAGCAAACACCAGGTTTTCGAGCAAATGGAAGAAGTATTTCATATGAAGTAACCTGGGAAAAAATAGAAGATGGCTCTGTGCCTGAAAGCATCTCCTTGTCATCAGTCTACAATAGCACAAGGATTTTCATTGATAAGCATTCCTACAAAATCAGTATCATGGCAATGAATGGTGTTAATTTTTCACTTCCTTCAGTATTGGTCATCTCTAGAGCTACAGATAACAGTACGAGTATTTTCAGCTAGATTTCCATTATGATAGTTTTGTTTCTACCTGTTTTAAGTGAAGTCATAATTTATCATCTTGGGCAACAAGTTAACCTGGCCTTTAACTCACATCACTGCTGTTTGGAAATTATTACTGTGCTTTCACCTCCAGGGTGGTAATTGTATGTGTGTGAAGTTCAAGTGTACAGAGAGTGTCCACAGAACAAAACACATTTAGCCTAAAACTAGAGCTCAGACCTGTGGCAGGTGCCTTGAAGGTGCAGCCAGTGCCTTGTAGGGAACTCTCTGTGTGATCCTCCTCTTGTGACTCTCTGACTCTACATTTCTTCAACTGAGGGTCTTTTTTATGAATATGTAGTAACTTACTGGATGGTTTCTGAGCTATGTATGCCTTCAGCATACAAAGAGATCAGCTTTCAACATGTGAAAGAGCCCATATGTCATATAGTGAAGGAATGCAACTCTTTTATTATTGTTTTTCACAGTTTAGCATAGAAACTATATTGATCTTCATTTATGGATATGAAGTTTCATTCATGAAAGTAATAGGTATTCTGTTTTGTTCGTTCTAGGTACTGAAGAGCTTAAGGAAGAACAGGTTAATGGTACAGATGATGGTATTTTTATTTCCTGGAAGCCCAGATATATATATGACAGTTACATTATTGATTGGTGTAACTTTCCAAAGTTGCAGCCTTGTGATTTGCAGTGGAAGAGATTTGGGCCCAACACTTCCAGTGCTGTGATCAACTCAGGTGAAAGCCAAACAACTTTTCTTTCTGATGTCTGTGTAGCAGTCCTTCATGCTGTGGGCGTTAATTGAATTTAGGAAGCAAATCATGTGGAATATTGAAGTCTGTGAGGTGTAGGTGTAATTCTTTGGAGTCATCATTTTTTGCCTACCAAATAAATTAGACACCACAAATGTGCCAGCACCATTAAGCGTTGGAAGTCAGCGTAGTGTATTAGGAAAGTCAGCATAATATTTTAGAAAAACCTTTTCTGAGTGGCTTGTAGTAGCATCTTGAAAGAGGACAGTGAGGTTAATGAAGGAGTTAAAAACCTTTTAGCAGAAGAGATGTGAAATGGAGCTCTGCCCTAACTCAGGCAACTTAACAACCACAGTGGTTTAGTGCTGTCAGTGCGGCACAAATGTGTCTCAGCACCAGCTTGCTTAGGACCAGTTGCATGTTTTTTTACCCCAGTGGCAGCCAATAGACCTAAATCCTTTCTGGCTGTGTGAAAGTTGCTCTGATGTACTTCCACAGCTGCAAGAGTTTAGCCTTTCTGCAGTCTCTCAAACTGAGAGTTCATTTTGGAATGAAAGATGTTTGAACAAAACTTGACTGAACGCACGTCAATATGCAATGAAGGAACTGCACCGCAATTCATACAAACACATGGGAACATACAGTCCTAGTGAAGGAGAGTGTGGTAACACATGGGAAAAGGACTGTCCAACTCTTCAGTGGTTTGCACTTGGTTGATGTGACTGGGAGTGGATGTCGCTGAGAATAACGTGGAATCCTGGTGCATGGATATGCATCTGCAATTAAGAGTTAAAACATGGCCTTTTCCTGTGCCAGAAACATAAATGAAATTATCTTGCTCTTTCAGAGTCTATTATGTAGTCACCTTGAATACCATATGGCCACAAAAAAAATATATAAACCCCTCCCCCAGTTCTCTCTTTCAGATAATAAATGTGTTTAATTCACAGTATGCACACCATGAATTGGCTTACCCTGTGTCTCCTTCAGTTGCTTTAAGAGCACAGTGGCACATGGAGAAGATGTCTAATAGACCATTGACCTCTGTAGAAAGCAGTTCAGTAAAAGCAACACCGAAATACAAACCATAGCCTATTTTTGTAATCAGTTTGACTATTTTATAGCTGCTTTTGTTCCGGGGGTGAGATACAACTTCCACGTCTATGGATCTGTTGCTAATAGAGCCTCCTTACTGGAAAAGAAGACTGGTTATCTCAGGGAGCTACGTAAGTTAGCAACATATTTCAGGTTTGTGTATTTGCTAAATTGACCTGTCACAGACAGAACTACTTCTTCCCACTTCTAGGTAAAATTGTATTTTCTGTGTTCTTTCTATATCATCAGTGAAGCATTTAAAAGTTGCGTATCAACATACAGGCCCTACATGGAGGGTATTTGGCTAGTGCAGTGACCAGGTTAGAGTTCATGTGTATTAGAAGACCTAAACAAAGCTGTGATTATCAGTCACTACTTTGTGTATAATGTGGATGCATGAAGGCTCTGTGAAGTTGACAGTGTTTGTAGAGAACTTTGGCTTTGTTCAACTTTTAAATACAAGTAAGATATGAACATAAATGCCACATGAGAGTGTAGATTTTTCAAGTGCAAATATAAACATTCTTGAAGAATAATTGCAAGTTTAACTTGAATTTTCTTTCTTCCAGCTCCTCTTGACCTTATTGTGGACAAAGTTGAACTGACTTTCAATGCAGTAACACTGTCTTGGGATTCTTACCTCACAAATGAGTCACAGCCAGGTTTTGTGAGAGGCTACCATGTCTATGTGTCACCTGTAGAAGGGAACTGCAGTTTAAAAGGATCAAAAAAGCACATTCTTTCAGGTAACTGAGCTCTGCAGTGTAGGAAGTTGTGTCATTGACATAGGTTGCTCATACTGCAGCATTTTAGAAGATTCACATTAGGCAGTCAGGTTGGCTAATTTGGCCATCTAAAGATTTCAACATGAGCTGCTTTTGATTCCCCTCTGTGCTTGAGGTGCTGACAGACAGAAGTGGGCCCTGGCTTTATACAGATTTACAGCCCCCGTCCTGTCTCCTTTTTACCTCCAGAAAACATTCCTTTCGTACTGTAGGAGGATGTAAGTTTCTGCCTCTTGTTATGTGAGTTCTGGATGAATTTCAAAAAATATTTGTGGTCTACTTGGATAAAAGTCATAGGAAGCATGTTAGTCTTACTAGGATTTGGGGTATTTTAGAAACAGATGGGATGCAATTTATTTCCTTCGGAATTGGAACACTTTGTAAATTCCCCATTTAAATTCTTTTCTAGTGAGAGTATTTGTGTTTGTGTTCTGCAGTGGAGTTCCTTCAGCTGAAGTGAGCTGTGAAGTGGCACAAAGCCACATTTAAACTTTTATATCTGACCTTCCTGTTCCGCATGCAAAACTGCTCCAGATGACTTTGACTTATTATGATTTTCAGATGTTTCCATCATGTTAAAGGATTTTTTTTTTTCCTTGCCTCTTCTTCCATTTGGGTCATGTCCTGTGATCCTTCTGCTGATTAGACTAGTACCAAACTGAAAAGCATATTTTGCACTGAGGGAAGCTTATGTGGGAGTTTCTGTCAGAACTGAACTAACTATAGAAATACCATAATTCTGTAAGTAATCCCAGTTAGACTTCAAAAAGTTTAAATCAAAGATTTTTCTGCTTCCCTGTTTGTCAGAGTTAGCAGACAAGGGGTGTGACTGGGAACAGGAGAAATAAGCTAACCCATTTCTCCCTGGGGTCTGGGAGTTGCACAAGAGAGGTTAAAGAAGGGTTCTTTTTTCAGGCAGAAGTTTCTTGCTTTCGATTATCTTTAAAGAACTCGACCTAAGCTTAAGGGCTACAGAATTCTGGCAAAAAAAAAAAAAAAAAAAAAAGCAAATGGCAGAAGTCAAGTAGTTCTGTTAAAAGCTCTACTGAAAGGAAATTAAAATAAACAGTTGCCGTCTTTGACAACAAGTTGCTAAGTGTCTGCCAGAGGATGGGCAGTGCTGTGGACAGTCCAGCTAGAAGGGATGTGAGTTCAACCCTGTGGCAGTGAGTCAGGATGCATCATCCTTCTCGTAAGAAAGTGTGCAAGTTACAAAGAAGGCGGATTGCAAATGTTTTGTTATTTCAGTGGCCATGCATAAATGGGTTTGTAACATTTTGAAGAGAACTTACTGCAACCTTTCAAAATCTAAAAGATGGAGAAAGACTTTTTACCAGTGCCTGTAGTGACAGGAAAAGGGGTAATGGTTTTAAACTGAAAAAGAGTGGGTTTAGGTTATATATTAGGAGGAAATTTACCATAAGGGTAACGAAGCACTGGAACAGGTTGCCCAGAAAAGTTGTAGATGCCACATCCCTGGAAGCATTCAGGGCTGGGCTGGATGTGGTTTTCAGCAACATGGTCTAATGGGAAGTGTCCCTGTCCCTGGCGGAGTGGGATGGAACGAGATGATCTTTAGGGTCCCTTCCAACCCAGACTGTTGATTTTGTAATTTCTTGATTCTGCCTGATGTTTCATTTCAGATAATTCAGAGCTGTGTAAATACACAATTGAAAATCCAGAAAAAAAGAGATACACTGTGGAACACCTGATGTCAAACACAAAATACAAACTAGTGGTTAAAGCATACACAGGTGGAGGAGAGAATCACATTGATGACTTCATGTACATAGACACACCATATAACTGTGAGTACTGGCTGCGGAAAATGCCTTCTAGCAGAAGGATGGGATGATTTAAAATTTTCATGCAATTATTGACAATAATCTTCATTTCTCAAGGAAAAACATTTAATTCAATGCAACATGCACTTAAGAAAGAATCCAACTGAGAAATTACATGTGCATACCAATATGGCATTTTGATACTTTAAAGTAGATAGTTGTTTGTTTTGTTTTGTTTTAATTATAATTAAACTAATACATATCCTTATTTAAGTCTTATATTTTTCTGGGACATAGCTTAATATCTGCACACTTGCACACCTAGTGAGTCCTGTTTGTTAGAACTCACTGAAGAATTATATTTGGATTTAACTTGTTTTCTAATACAGGAAACACCTACAGACTTGTGTGCAAACAGGTAATTTCTGTATGGACTCTTGGAACTTCTTATTCTCATCAGTCCTTAAATCTCTTGCCAAGTTAACTACTTCATAAACCAGTATGGAAGGTTTGTTAGTCAGAGCACTGTATTTTGCTAAGTGGGCAGATTTGATCACCAAAGCAGAAGAGGAAATCACTTGCCTGTAATTCTTTTCGCTTGAAAATACCAGTCAGCAGTCATGATTGTGAAATTTATGATCCAAATTGGAGATGCCTGGCTTTGAGAAACTTCTTGGTGTTGGAGGTGAAGGGGGAGGGATAAGAAAAGGGGAGGCATTGTCTTATGCTAGGAGACTTCATGCTTTAGGCTAACTAGCAGAACAGTGTCTAAACCCCATGGTACCTCCCAGGCACAGTTCCTCTGTGTCCCATGTTCCAGCTCCCATTAGCCAGCAAGACATTTGTACAGCCATACGGAGAACAAAAATGAGGACTTAACTAACCACCCCCCCAAAAAAAAATATAAAAGCAAAACATAATGTGTCCATTCCCTGCTGTGGTGTGTGGTAGAGACACATAAACTCTGGCATGAGGCAGGAGCGTGCTGGCCAGGGCAGAGGGAGAGCAGGCACTAACTAGTGTTCCCCCTCAGCCCACTCAGGGCCTCAAGTGTTTGTGAACAGTGTAGCCTGAGGCTGTGTCTTCCATCTAGAGGGAAATGTTAAGATCCTTGTGTCCACATAAATCCTAGGAGACTTGAACACTAGTGTAGTGTCTCTCTTGCTACTTGCTTCTAGCTACTTGCTACTTGCTTCTATCCCTAATAGAAGTACAGATGTTCTGTTTACTTCTTACAGTAAAATCTGTCTTCGTTGGAGATCTGAGAGAAAACGTAAAACAATTTGTAAGTGAGGTTATCTTTGCCTTAGCTTTTAGAAATTTCCTCTCCCAGTGAAGATGCCAATATGAGAGCAATAAAAAGCAGTTTAGTAATAATTCAACTATGGACCACACAGTTTTACTGCTGAGTTAGTGGCAGGTATCCCACGTGGGCTTGATGTTATTTTTGCCTGAGACACTCAGGCTGATTTTAACATGTAAGGAATTAAAAGCAAAATTTTAAAGTATTTTTCTTTCACAGCAAACATGCTGTACTTCCTATTCCTGCTAGTGATAGTTCCAACCCTAGTAGCAGCTGTATGCCACTGGAAGAAGAAATGGTAAGTTATAATGCATTTTTCTGTTGTAGACAGGGAATGTAACTAACCTAATTCACAAACCACTGCTGCAGCTTGTTGCTTCCAGCCTGCTGTGAGGCTTCATTCATTTCTTCCTTTGGCTGTGAAACTGTGTGGATGTTGTATTTGGCTTGTGGCATTTCTGAGACACTCTTCCTCTGCTGCTGTGTCTGTACACATCTGTGTGTGGCTTCTGCTGGTAGAGTGTGCTTTTATAAGAGAACAAAAATGTCTTTTGTTTTGCTTTCCTATTTCTAGGGTGAAGGAGTGCTGCTGTCCTGCAATACCTAGTCCTAACAAGAGCAAAGTGCTGTCATTCAAAGAGTTTAAGGTAAGATCCTTGAAAATCTAGCATGTTTAATTTGTCCGTTCTTTGATTAGTACTGCTGAAAAAAAAATATTTTTGTGTTGACTACATTTAAAAATTAACTTTTTTTTTAACTTTTGTGTTGACTTCATTTAATAATTTTAAAAACATTAACATAGTTTAATAATACCCTTTAGTGGAGAATTTTCTTTCTGGCATTCATGTGACTCTGCAGGGACCAGTTTATATGCTGCAGTCTGTTACTGCAAAAAGCCAGTGCATAATTGGAGAATAAATGAAATCTTTCAGTACAGTTGGTGATTCCTCTTACTGCTGTTCAAGCCCTCACACTGAACGCAGCAGACCAGATGATACTGCATTTCACTGCAGCCTGTGAGCTGTGCCTGCCCACTCCTCCTGCCCCACATCTGTCTGCAGTAGGGCACTCTGGGCTTTTTTCATTGACTAATTGTTTTGTTTAATGGTTCTCTTGTAGATTGGTTCTGAGAAAGTGCTGAAAATAAGTGACTGCACTCCTGACATGCTGGCTGTGGACAATAAGGCTGAAGCCCAGAAACTACATCCATGGAGCAAGTTGTCTTCGATACCAACAGAAGATAAGACTGATGGTCACAATTCATCCTGGATTTACCCTAATGAAAATGTAGAGAGAGACCTTCCACCCACACCTACATCTCAAACTCGTAATTGGTTTGAAAATTTTGCTTATTTTTCTCATCTTGATGTTGAATCTGATCCCTATCAAATACCGGAGACAGTGGAAGTGAACAAGCCAGAGCTGGCAGCAATGCTATACCAGCCACACTGCTATATTGATATTGTTAATGAAGACACAGCCTCAGCAACCAGAGAAGCAGCTGGCAGAAAGAATGGTCTGAGATATATCTCACAGACAAATGTGCACTGCCTGGGGAGAAGGCTTTGATGTACTCTCCTCCACTGAGTCCACCCAGTGTATGATTACACAATGTAGATGAGAACTTCTTTTGATTAGGCTCTCACAAGCTCAACTGCCGTGCTTTGACTAGTTTTAAGTACTGGCTTGCACACAGGAATAATGTGTGTTATGGTTTCATTACAAGTTTATGGGGATTATATAATATTTATAGACCATTTTGTGGCCTGTATTGTGTAGAAAGCTAGATCACAGCAGTCTTGTCATAGCCCGATGTAGAGAACTGCTGTGTTTTACAGAGATAAATTTATTCATAAAGTAGAGGACCAAATTAAACAAGGGGATAGGTTGTTGTGCTCAAGGAATTTATTTCACTTGCAGTACACTACCCCATGCTCTGGCCACCCCAACCAGGGGTGCTGTGCTGCTGGGCATGGAGCATTACCCAGCCCAGTGATATTGAGGGATTTTATTTTCTGTCTCTTAAGTGATATAAGAAATCATCATAGAAAGGTTATCTGCATACGTGTGGCACATGATTAGAGATTTTAAGGAATTTGACTTCTCTAGGAGTGCTACCCAGAGCACCAAAATCCAGTAATTGCCATGCTTTCACTGCACCTGTGTCCTAATGACACTTGTTGGGTGAAAGAGCACAAGCCCTTGTTGGGTGAAAGAGTGCAAGCCCCTGCTTCTGTTTTTTGTCACTGGGGCTCATCACACTTCTGCCTTCTCTGCCTGGAAGACTGACCTTGTAAAGTTGTCTTAACTATACACTAAAGAAATATGGGGAACTATGTGGGAAGTTCTTTTTGCAGCAGGAAAGCTGTTTGCAGAGGTGGTACCATGCACTCTCTCTCTGCTTTTGCACATGAACTGAACTTCTTTTGGCATTAACGCCTGTACTTCCAGAGCAAACCCCAAATCACCAACATGTAAGCAGAAAGGGTAGTCAGAGGTGTATGTGTCCCATTTGTGAAGAATGTCATATTCAGGCTGTGTATCAGCTAATCTCCCAACACTGCTTTTGTATGTGTTAAAAAAAAACCAAACCAAACAAAAAAAAAACTAAAACCCCAGACCAAAACAAAAACCAACCAACCAAATTATTGTAACAATCAGAATCCCTACAGTAGGCAGCAGTGAATTTGGCCTTTCATTTTGATTTCAAAAAATCATATATTTGTAATGATGCAGTATATTTGGAATCGTAGTTGAAAGTCTCATTAACCTCCTCAGTGCACAAGGAACCCTTTAGTTTTTCATCCTTACGATGCAGTTTGGAATCTGTTACAAATAGATTTTTCAACTAAAGAGCACTGAAGAAGCGGTTCCCAAAGGTGAAAAAAAATGGAAGGTCTCTGCCAATTTGATCTTCAGTTAAGGAAGACTAGTAACTACATTTTAGCAAACTGTTTAACCAGCCAGCTAATCACACTTCCTAGGAACTAAGCAGCTGCAGGCAGAAGTGAGTTCTGATACTGAACCACATCTAGTTTTTACACTGCTGATTACAGATATTGTTGTAATGTCCACAAGCTATGTTGCAACAGGAAAAGCAGTAAGACCTTACACAGCCTATGGCTGAGACAAAGCACTCACTGCAGCGAGGGAAGTTTTCAGGGCAGGAAAAGGTGAGGTACAAAGGTACAGACACAGGGATGGCCAGCTGTGGTCAGAGGTGTCCAGTCCATGCACACTGTGCTGTGTGAGTGTACAGATGGCACAGACTCATTTGACAAGAAAAATTACAACATAGTCCTTCCTGTGAACCTTCCAAGGGAAACACGGCTGGACACATTTTGCTGAAGGGCAGTTTCACAAAAGAACAGGGAGGTAAGGGAGAAAGCTGATGCTGTTCAATGGAAACACCCCAAAGAAACTTTTCTTCCCTCTACCTCTGAGTTACAGTGAATTTGAAAGCTTGATACCACAGTATCGTTACAGCTTGGAACATTTCCTTCTCCAAAGTGTTTCATCACATCATATGTACTTTAAAAGTTCTACTGCTGGAAAGGCAGCCAGTAAACAGAAGTGAGCTGTTTTGTGACTATTGATATAAAACTTCTTAGCTGTGCATTTCAGAAAAAGGCCTGTTCATTCAAAAAAGTTTGAAAGGTATCCTAAATCAAGAGTTATGTAGCTAAGGAATTCTGATACACAAGTCAGTCAACATACCACTAAACATTTTAAAATTTGGCATTGCTGCAATTCCTTGTGTCAGAGGGGACAGCTGCTGCAACAAAGCACAAATCCCTGCTTTGAAGAAGCTGCTGTCACTGGGGCTTGGCTGCAGCAATTCCACCCAGGAAGTGAATGGGGGAGGTGACTGTGTGTGGGTTCAGCCAGTTGTGCCTTCCTGAAGGCAGGACGAGCCACATTAACCTGCCAACCTCTCAGCTCCCTGGGTCTTTCCTGGGGAGATGCTGCACTGATGAAACTTCAGTATCTGGACACAGTGAAACACTTGACCAGGTACCAGACTGCTGGGTGAGCTAAGGAGAAGCCAACTGCTCTTTCCCTATAAACCCTTTTGTTTCCCAGCCCTGATGGGTGGTGCTTTGTGCATAAAAGCACAGAGACAGAGGATTCCAGGGAGGATAATGCCTCTGTGCAAATCAGAGGGTGCAGTTGGGGTGCCAGAATTGAAGATTAGGAAAGTATTTTTGCATGCGTGGGGAAGCATGTAAAATTTTTATACACTAAGACATCTGTCTTGCATTAATGGCTGAATGAGTTCAAAAGTGTAATCCTCTTTTTTTTTTTTTTTTTTTTATAATTCAACTTTCACAGCTGCTGTTGAAATGCTAATACTTAAACCATCACATAATGGAAAAGTATTCTCAGTATCAGTATGATAAAGTTTTAAAATAAAAATGGTGTGCAAACTATTAAAGAGTCTCTATTTTTATATCTTACAAAGCACTAATATAAAATATATTTTTGACAAAAAAGTTTATTTAGAAAGCTTCTGGTCATTCTAGTTGATTAGTAACTTACAAATGTGAATAAAATTCCAACCCATTTCTAGTGCTGAGAGGTACATAAGAGACCAGAACAACTATTAGAAGTTTAAGTACATTTTATTAACAACGCATCCCTTTGATAAGACTACGCTTCAGGAGGCCTTTAATGCTCATTGACATGAACTGTACACAGTATACAAAAAAAAAAAAAAAAAAAAAAGAGAAAAAGAAGAAAAAACCACGAAAAAAATCAAGATGGGCAATACCATTTTGGGACAAGCCTCTGTTTAAATTATACACAGCTCAATGCAATATTCTTACGTAAAATATATAAATACTTTTTCTTTCTATGTTACAGGTATACAATATAAATCAGATTTCAATGTCTGTTCAGTGACCTAAAAACACTAGAACCTCCAAATATGTAGCAGCGTATTACTAAATAAAAAAAAGACCACACAGGACAGGGAGAATAAGTATTGAGATTTTCCTTGATCCCTTTCCTCAGATCAGAATGATTAATTTAGATAATCTCTTGTAATAAAGTTTTAGGGATGCTGACAGCCCAGTATTGGAACAATTTTTCAAATACAACTAAAAATTGTCTGCCTTTTCCCCCCTTAGACATTGCATCTTGTGCTGAGACACCCTATTCAATGGCAAAATGGCATGTTACATTTTTTGGCATAAATTACATTTCTCAAATAAAATAGTGTATTTTACAAAGCAACTCAAACAAAATGTGCAATTTCTGCATGCTGGCATTGCTGTCCATCTACGCTACAAAAATAGCCCAAAGAAAATCTGCATTCTTTACTGAGTATAAATCTGTTGAAAACAAAACTATCTAGGGAACCACCACCAGGATTTAAAACAAAACCCAAGGAGATCAGGGGGCGTCTAGAAAAAATACCAACATGTTTTCTAGCATGTCCCCATAGTTCTTTTACAGTTCAGGTTTTACTCTCACCAAGTATACCTTTAATAAGCACACAATATGAGAAGTGTTTTAATAGGTTTTTTTAAACTATTAAAAAAAAAAATAGTTAATGGACCTGCTTTCAACTGCCTCCAGTAAAGCTCAGAGTAACAGGACTTGTGTGCCGCCCTGCTGGGAGGTGAGCAGAACCACAGAGATGTTCCAGAGCCTGGCAAACAAGCCTGCGATCGCTAAACTGGAGCTTATGTTCCCTTAGAGGGAAACACCAGCCTCCTGCAGTCCAAAAAGCCAAATACCACAACCCGGACACTACTACAAAACAGCAAACTCTTCCATCTCTCACTAGGCTATGATTATTCTGTTTCTTGAATAGCTACCTTACTCTTCAGGCACACAGGAAAGGCGCTACGGTTTTGTTTTGTCTCACTGCAAATTAAACTCTCATTCGAGATCACTACGTGTGTTTCAAAATAAGATGACAAAAAGATAATCAGGATTCTCACTGGTGCCTTATAAGGATAGCTTACCTCAGTGTGCTGAGCCAGTGCACCCTAAACTATCACCACTTGGGAAAAAACCCCACCACCCTGAAATGAGAGCACATTTTGGGTAAGTATGTCAGATGTCAGTCAGATAAGAATGGTCAGATGAGGAAAAGCAACTGACTGAAGCCCAATATGCCAGAGGCCCCATATACAGGGTCGCCAGTACAAAGCCATCTCCAGCTCCAACTGATGTCTGCAACAGCTAAAAGCATGCTGCATCTCTAAATTTAAGAGAGCTGAAGAAGTCTCTGACTACAAAAGCAGACTCTCAGCACCGAGCTATGTCCTCCTTCCCTCCTTGGAGAGAAAGAGGCCCTCAGGGAGGTGCCTGGGGGCCCCACCAGTTCACTTTCTGCCCTTTGCAAAGGGCACTGACTGTAAAAGCCGACTAAGTAAATTGGACAGCTAATGCAGCAGACTAAATGTGACTGATTTCACATGCAGCCTCTCCTTCCCACAACAGCTTCTGCCTCTGAGCTGTGTATGAGCATGTGGTGCATTGGTATATAGTGTAGATGAACACTACACCCTTTGCCATTTATTCAACAGCATAATTCAGACTGGAAATATAAAAAGTGGGTGGTCTGTCAGCTTCCCTAGTAGAAGTGGAGGAGATTCTTTATTAGGGCTAAAACAAGCACAATCATTGCTTACTACAGTTTTCCTTTGAAGCTTTAACATGAACCAAATGAAACCCCAAAACAAGAACTCTGAAAGTAGTATTTGAAAAAAAGAAATCTACAGATTTAGAAATTCACAGTTTATAACTAGGCCAATATAAATTTCCTTCAATAACAGTATCCCCTTCATTTGCCAATTAAACAGAAACACCAATGTGAGCTCAATGTCAGTTCGTAAATTAATTTTCTAGAAATGTTGTATGCTATGTACAGTACACTCTACATCCTTGATGCATACTTGTTGAAATTACTGACACTCATACACTTTCAGAAGAAAAATCACACTTTATAACTGAATTTGCAGCCATAATTATTTATGTCAAGTTTCTGTTGTCATGGATCCCCACACAAGCAAGTACTTCAGAATGCATAAGCATTTCAGGATGGAAATTCTTTCAAGAGTAGGTTTGCTTAACTTTTTATAATCAGAGGCCTTTCTACATTAAGTGCTATGGGTTAAACTTAACAAATGAACAGAGGTGTTTTATTTAAATACAGGTGATAAAACTTGTTTATTTTGCTTTAACTGCAGAAAAATAACATGGAGTTGTTTGATGTAACCCCATTTAGTTATTAAAACAAATCTCTTCTACTCTAGCCTAACTGAGGTAGTGTTTGAAACTACTGTATAACATACGCTATCCCCATTTGTGGGAAAACTACATTATTTTCCTTTGGAGTTTATACCACTATTTGGTCTACTGTGATTGACATTTTGGTTTTAGAGAAGCATTTATTTCTTATGACCAGAAGTCCAATAGTTACTGGTGTGGTCTGTTTTCAGAACATTTCAAACATGTCTTGACACACAGATATATTATTTGTGTCAATGACCACAGAAGAGCTGAATCAGTTTCTTTTTGCTACTTCTTTCAGTGGGAACTCATGAAAAGATAATCTTAAGAACCAAATTTGACTATGAGCAGCAACTTACAATTTGCTTTACCGGAACCTGATGGTATGCAGTGCACACAAGAACTCAGTGAAGTGATAGCTGCAAAGCGGTGCTCATATGGCATGGTGAAATTTCCAATAAGAAGAAATAAATTCTATGTTTCACGAGGAATCATGTGTTACTGTTCACAGGACTACTTCTTGAAATCTCCAGTAGCATAGCTAGTAAGAACAGAGTTATGAGCATCAGGATAAGTTTCAGTTAAGTATTAATCTGACAATTATAAAAATGGTAGAAGTGAATGGATAAAAATACGTTCTACTCAGTACAGTCCAGCTGAATTATTCACCTATATCAAAATCAAAGGGTAATCCCTTCTATTACAGGCATTCTAACAAAGGTGGCCATGCTACTGTATATACACATTTGCATATATTTATACTACCTTTGTATAAAGGCTTCTGAATCTTTAGATTCATGACAAAAGTGACAGGGATTCTTACTTTTTTTTTTTTTCTTTTAAGCTTGCACTTAATAGTTTAGAAACCTTACTAGTAACATGATTGAGGCAACTACTTAGTCATTACCAGTCACTGTATCATTTAACTTTTGCAACAAGTCTTAAATACCAGTACAAAATTATAAGTACGGCTGCTCCAAAATTTGTTACTTAAGGCTTTTCACTACAATTATTAGTACTATCAGACGCTTGATCACTAACCCATTGAAAATTCAAATAAACCTTTGTTTTTATAAAAAGTTGTTTCCATGGAACTTGGAAAACACTCACATTTTGTCTTGTCACAAAAGCTACAATGATTAAATGTCTTCAAGTTTAGTTCATATAATATTTGCTTATCTGATACAAATCATGCTTTGTAGAGGATTGTAGTTAAGAGTAAGACCCACATTTGTACTATATGAGCATGAGTGTAGAAACTGCAAACACATGCATAATATTCACGGAAAACAATCTCATTTCAGCATTTTAGATTGAAATTATTTGGGTTTCTGAAAATCAAATTGTAGTGAAAATCCTTAACTGGTTCAGGTAAGATACACGTATGTAAATGTAATGAAACTGGAGAAACTGCTAATAAAATGTCTTACAACTATAGCAATATTAAAATAACTTAATGAAACCTCAGATTCACAGAGGCATTTCTTTCTATCTGAAGTTACAAATCCCCATGTTTATAGTGTTACAAACAGTACAAAACCAACAGAGAAGGGCTAACATTAATCCCCTAGTGCCCACAACTACAGCATGGCTCCCCATTGCTGGCAGTGGAATGCACTCCCATCTCTCTGATTCCTGGTATTCAGGGTTTAAAAAGCAAGGCATCATTCTGCTTCTCTGGAACAGAATCATAAGTCAATTAAAAATGTCTCTGCAAGTTGTTCTGTTTCTTCTTAATGTATGGTAGAAAATGAAATGAAAACTTGTGGAGGCGTTCAGTGCTTGGCTCTTGCATATACTGGTAATTACTATTATTAAAACTATGTAATGTTTAATAAATCCCCAAAGGTCTCAAATCATTGTGGCAGTAATTGGTTGAGGAAGAAAACATTTTCAGTTCAGTCTTCAGGTACCAGTAGCTTCTGGAACAGTTTAGAAGATGATGCTCCAAGCTTTTTTTGTCCAGTCAGTTGTAGGTTGTGTGAGGATTTCAGAAAGTCTGCATGAAATGCATTACATGGGCAGAGGTCAGGATTCAGCTGATGCATCAATTACAGGCTGTTTTGTCGGTGTTGCTAAAATAGCCTCTGCTTCTTCATGCATCTAAAAGAAAAAGATGGAAGTATTAATACTGTTAAGAGACTTCAGTTTCCTTTAGGACATACCTCTCTGAAAGCATCTTTTACTTGGAACATAAAACCTGCGCCCAGCTAGCACATTTTGGTACATTCAGTGCATGTGAACCCTCCACTTACTTGCAAGAACTGAACATCTTGAAACAGCTCCTGAATGAACCTTCGAGATGGAAGTCGAAATGTACAGTGTGCTAACAAGTAGGACACCTCAGAGTAAAGGCATATGTCGTCAAATGCTTGGGGGTACTTCTCCTTAATTCTGAACAACAGAATAAACAAAATTTTATAAGTCTTGAACAGATTTCCATCATATTTTAAAAGAACCTTTTCAATTTGATTATCATCATTAATGAAGCAGAACTCTGTTTTAGCAGTTGCCAGTTTCCAATGTCACTACAAGTTACAAAATTTTTTAAAATAAATTAATTTCAGTAGTTGTACTCTTGCCTAAAGCAGAGTTGTGTTTCTCAAGAAGTTACTTTCAGTTTGTTATTGTCCTTATTTATTCTTCAGCATAAATAAAAAAACTTAAGTTTCTTTTTTAAAGACACGTGATATACTGGACACGTAACAAAACATTACTACAGCTGAATTACTGATATTAAAAAGTCTGGTAAAGAGTACAATACTAAATGCAGAGCAAAAATGTTAAAATTATTTGTTTAGTTTTTACATTTTATTCAATCATTTCTCCTCAACAATTTTATGAGAAGTCAAATTATTCACTGTCCCTCAGATCTTAGTGAGAGAATACAGATGACTAAATGTTGCTAAAACATCTGGAATGTATTGAACTTACGTCAAAAGTCCAGTTTCATGGCCTTTAGTTCCAACTGAACTACTCAAATTGATTACCAAACGTAGGACTTCTTTCCGCAGAAGTATTCTGCACACTGGAGTATCATCTGGGATTGATTTTACTCCTAGAAAAACATATTAAACAGTATAGAATTTAAACAAAATTGTCTTTGATTGTGCTAATCTTATGCCACAGGAGTCTGTTTTAGCACTCCATATACATACATGCCCATACTGTCTTAAATGTGTATATAACATACATATTCTGAGTGACCAAAAATATTTCTACTGAAGTTCAAACTTAAATACTATTTTCAGGAATTTAAACAGTTTACCTTTTCAAATATTTCTACCATTTCATAATTGGAAAACCCTGTAAGATAAAGTTACAGTGCTCTCTCTACTACTGAATCACGCTGCAAACTGGATGAGTTTCTCTCAGATAGTGGAGAATTTAGCAACCAGCTACTTCATAAGAAATGATAAGCCAAAATGTAATACACAAGTATAAAAAAGAAATGTCTTTCTCTTTATGGAAATTCAGTCATTCTTAGAAGCTTTTTTTAAATTAACAGCTGAGAAAAAAAGGTAATCAATTTGCTTGTAATGTCAGATACAGAGCTACTGAATAGCCTGCAGAAATGCTTATAGCAAAAGAAGAGTTTAGAACTATGTTCTCCCACACGGAGATGTTCTTATCCAGATTTGTTCAGTTTTTGTTTAATAATGAGCATTACTCTGTTGCAGTGTATATAAGTGAAACATAATTTTTCCACAATACCTAAAATATACTTTAAGAGTTACAGTCTCTAATAATCATAAGGCTTTCAAACTTACCCAACACAAGTTCTGTACTCTTGGTGCTGCTAGCTGAACCATGGGATACTGCATCACTACAGCCTGAAATTCCAGAGAATTTGGAGGAATGCACATCTAAGTGATTGTGAATGGTCTGCCCACACCAGTCAGTATATGGAATGTCTGAAAAATCTGACATAAACAAAATGTTGCATCTTTGTTATTCACACTTTTCTTCAATTCACATGCTTTAGCTATTTTTCAACAATGGTAAACATGCAAGACATTGATGCACTAAGTACTATGCATAAAATCATCTGGAAAGTAATGTTGTATTTTGAACAAATCATACTTAAAATCTTTTAAAACTGCTTTTCTAGAATCTTAAAATACTCCAGTGAAAATAATCAACTCTTCTAGACACTGATGGAAGCCTAAAATGTTCACACATAAAGCTCCCTTTAATATAACATGATACAAATGCTCTTGCATATGCATACTTCTTTGTGTTCGTACAATTATCACAGTTTGCAGAAAGGTCTCTGACAAGAGCCTGGCTCTGCTGCACTTGTAATTACAGTTGGGATTTTCTTTGCCACCCTTTCTTGCTTCTGAACTAAACCTCAATCTCAGCTCTCTGAGCCATTCCTCACATTTTGTGTATCACCCCCCCTGCCAACATGTGCTACTACCTGAATGTGTGACATTAATGTCAAACAGTAAGGATTCCTACTAAGCATCCTTTTCACCACAGACATTGTAAAAAGGCATGAAAATGCAAGCTCTGCAGAGGACGTTACAAAAAATAATTCTGAATCTCATCTGAAGCTCAAAATATGAGGTAAGATGACTAAATCCCAGAAATTACAGCTCAACTTCAACCGACTCCTCAGACTTCCTTCATTGTATTTTAGGGTACAGACTTGAAGTCAGACTTTTCATTACTTGGACAGCAGGTGTCAGTTTTCAGGAAATGGATTCTAAGTACTCAATAAGGTTTCAAATTTTATATTTTGACATACTCTCAGAAATATTTAAAAAACACATGCAGGCACCTAATTATAGTAACACTAGAAACTGAAAAGCTGGAAAGGACCACAGAAATACCACTGATTGCACAGTAATCTTATTAGAGAATTAATTTTAAGGTCAATAGTCAGTTACACAAAAACCCTTACAGATTATTTAAAGATGAACAAAATCCAATAGGTTCACTTGGTTTTACCACACTTCTCCACAAGGAACACTAACCTGTACGACTATATGCAGAGTTCACCTTGTTGTTAGGCTGATAACCCAGAATTTGAATGCAGACACAGTAAAGACAGTTCTCATCTGTGTGCTCCTGCAGCCCAGTATCCTCTGTACTTTCTAAGAACTGAGAGGCATCTGAACGACTGGTATTCATGATTTCTGTGAGACTGATCTGCTGTCGTAGCATCTGGAAAGGGCTTTTGACAACATCACTTGCACCTGATGGAAGACCTGTAGATAAGAATTAGTTATCAAAAACCCCCACAAAACCAAGCAACTTACACTCTTTCAATTATTTTCCACTTTTAAGCCTTTTAAGGTTGGAGGGGGTGTGCACATGAACATCTATAACATCTTTTTTTTTTGAGAGGTTACGCTCCCAACACTGTTAGAGAAACAGACATCACGTTTTAGTCCCAGCTTACCATACATAACGCGACATTGCAAAGGACAGAGTTTAACCTCTAAACACCCATACTGTAAAAGATGATAAGTGGTAAATCCTAACATGATATCAACATTACTAATATCCACATAACACCAATACGTTACCAATTTTCATAGTGTGCAACAAGATTAATAAAATACACCAGATGTTTAAATTACACATGCACTAATGCACATAGAAATGCTATTTAAAAAACTGTAACTTAGTGGCCATGACAGGAAGAAACCAGACTCAACAATGCAGAAAGAAGCAGAAGACACTTTAGTCACATGCTCTTTCCTGGGTGAAAAAATCAAACAAATACAATTTTGAACAAGATTTACTTTACAGTGAAACTTAGCAATCTACAGAAACACACTTCCAGAAAAATCAATTTTGTATATAATACTAACAAAGCAAAAGAAAAAAAATCAGTAAAGTGTGTCTTTTTCAATGCTCCAAGTGGTTGTAAGGAAATTCCAGTTAGCCAGGAGGCAGACTACAGCTATCCTAATATACTGCTAGAGGACCAGTTTCAAGGCTTCTTTGTTTTCCAGCTGTCCTTCTTAAAAGACACACTGAGACCCTACAAATTTGACTTCCCTGGAGTAAACAGAAATTGTATTCCAGAACAAGCCACACATTAGAGTACTTGTAGTTCTCCTGTACGATGTCCCATCACCTTCATTGATCAACTGTGATGGACACATCACAGAAAGACAAAATTTACTTTCTGCAATAAACACTGAACACCGTTACTGGTTTCTATAGATTTACGTTTAATCAAAGGGAAATATAAATGTAACAGTTCAATGTGGCATTCACACTTTATCTAGTGTTACTTCCTTTAATTCAGTATCACTACCTATCCTTGATTAGCATTAGCTCACAATATTAAAGATATGCAGACTGTCCTCCTCCATATATTAGAGCAGGACCAGACTTGGAAGCAACACTATATTATCTCAAACTAAATAAAACAGGGAATTAATGGCCTGCTATCCAGATTCCAGAACACAGTTCTCAAAACTTAACATCTAAAAAACAACCTTTTCTGTAATGAAAACTAACAAATAAATCGACAACCCACCCAATATACCAACATACAACAGAAAGATGCAGGAGGGGAACAAAACCAGTACCTCCTGCATCAGGTGCAAAGACCCTAGCTCCACGGTCATCCAGTGGAGGTGTAGTTTTCTTCTGGAAATATGGAGTTTCCTTTACCTGGAATATTCAAATGAAAGTTAAAATTACAGGAGATAATCATACAAAAGGAAAAAAGGATTTTATGAGGAAATAAAATGTTGTTGATTTTTTACTTCAAGAAAAAGGTATAATTAGAGAAGAAAATTAAGAATAAACTCCCAAGTACTGAAAAAAAGCCAAATGAGAAAAATATACATTTGTGAATGGATGTTTATTAAGTAAGGCTTATTACCAGTTAGTAAATGTTCTAACAGTGGTGAGATGCTGTATGGGAACCAGTGACCCACAGTGGCTATTAATAATTTGCCCATGATGACTCTACAGCACTGGAGATCTTGGGAATGAAGTGCAAAAACATTCAGTACATCTAACATGCTGTCTGTAGGACACAGAGCTGAGATATGTCTCAACTACAAAAAGACTTCAGAGAGAAGAAATTTAGCAACCTAAATACGCCATAAAGAATGTGAAGGAGAAAGAAAAAGCAGTCATTTCACAAAGGGAAAATAGAAGCAGGTATTATAGAGCAATTTGCCTTTGGTCTTGGTTTTGTATTTTTGTGAGATTAGTAAGGAAGTGATTTACTACTGAAAGGCACCAACAAATAAAGAAAAGATAAGGAAGTCCACTGATTTACTTTTGACATAGACCATGTCCTGGTTTTGATATTTAAGTAACAGAATATTAAACCCTATCATGTATCAGTTTGTTAAACCAGAATGTGTTTTCTACCAAACAGAAAGAGGAAAGCAATTGATAAGACACTTAAAATAACCTGTTTTAACTTAAAAATACATATCTTTGAGGTTAAGTAAAGACAATATAATTTAACACTATGATAAAATATATACCAATATTTTATTATTTAACCAAGATCATGGTAAGCAGGGAGTTAACTGTTTGGTTATGCACATAATTTATGGTTGACCATAAATGGTCATCATGATGATCAATTAGTTGGCTAAAGAGGTATTAACAAATGTCCACAGACTATGCTAATTTCAGTTAAAAAAAATCAGATGTCAAAAATCTTATGACAGCAATTTATGTCACTGTTGTTTCGCACTCCTCTAACATAGTCTGTCTCATTATTTGACTAATAAAACAGACCAGACTAGTGACCTTGTGCAAACAGGGTTAGAAGAAAACCTCTTGTTCTCTGAAATGCATTTCTTGAAAGTACCACATCCGTTTTTGCTCATTTCTCCAGACTTAATCTATTCTGATGAAAAGGCAACAGTTGACTACCTACCTTTCAGTAAGAAAAACAATACAAACCAAATCAGTTAACACATACCCACCTGAAATATTTCATTGATATCCACTGGGAGAGCGAGGCCAATGTAATCATCAGAGCTACCATAGGTAGCATTAGAAACCATGGAGCGAACAGAAGAGGAACGCTGAAGTGTGTTTTGGTTAATAGGACTTAATAAATCTTCTTTATCTAACGAAGCATAACTTAAAGCTTTCATGAACCTGCAACGTGGAAACAATAAATCACAATTTTAGTAACTCTCCCATTCAGGCACATTAAAAGTAAGACTATCCCTATCACCACATTGTAGATCTCAGAGCTTGTTACAACAAATTACAGCTACAGGCTCATTGCTTTTTCTGCCTCATATTGCATAGTTTGGCAGTTCCTAGAGTAAAAATTTCTTCTTTGTAATTCCTAGTACAGGAATTCAAGCTAATTTTCTCCAAGTTTACAGGCTTTGAATATTGACAGCCCATACGGAGGCAGTAAAGATTTAGGCTTTTAAACTCCTAACTGCCTCATTTTAAAATGTACCTATACACTGAACATCATTTCCTGGATATTCACAAACTGTGAGCTGAGCAGGCACATCCCTGCAAAGGTAGGCCTTGAGCCTACCAGCAATGCGTGCAGGGAATATTTTTTCCCTGTACTCCAAAGGTGCCACCACCAGGTCACTGAAGCATGGAGGAAGTATTTGCTCAACATGAATGCACAAAGAACAAACCTAAACCTACACAGTGAGCAGAGGTGACTGCGAAAAATACCTCGAAGAATGAATAAAGAAAGAGGTTGGGAAAACAAGACAGGAGAAAAGAAGCAGGAGAACAAGTTCTCAGTGCTGATCAGAGCCCCAGTAATGGAAACTTCACATCTGGCCATCTTGTCATTTTACTTCTCATCAAAGATACAAAACTATAAACGTTTTCTGCTAATCAGATGGTAATGTAGATGGTCTATATGCAGTGGATTAAAGCTTTTCAATAACAAGACATACATCAGCAACAGTAAATTTTTATTGCAAATTATTATATATTGGAACGTAAAGTTACCATTTGCTTTCTTTTTTGCCTTCAAAATAGTTTTCTATCAATTTTTTGGTTTAGATGGGCAATAAAAAGTCTTCTTATTCCTAACAGACTAGCAGTCTTATATTTAGATAAAATTAAATTATCAAAATTTGATCAGGTAAGGTTCAAAAAATTATTAAGCAATAAAAATGCACGAAACAACTTCCAGGATATCAACAGTTTTCTTACTTATTCAGACCACTGCTAATTACAGTAGCAGTGGATTTCCAATAACAGTCAAGCCATACTTCAGAAAGAGAGGGAAAAGGTCTCAAGTTGTGCCAGGGTAAGGTTAGATTGGATATTAAGAAAAATTTTGTCACTGAAAGGGTTGTCAAGAGTTGGAACAGGCTGCCCAGGGAAGCAGCTGAGTCACCATCAACACATTTAAAAGGCATGTAGATGTGGCCCTTAAAGACATGGTTTAACGGTGGACTTGGCAGTGCTCTGTTAGTAGCTGGACTCAAAGGACTTTTCCCACCTAAAGATTGTATAAACTTAAAAAGTTACCAATTGCATTAATTATTTCATAATAAAACATGCTACAATGACTCTCAAAATTAAAGATAGAAGTATTAATCCTAAACATTTGTCCCTGCTTTTCTTAGAAAAGCTAACAGATGTATCATCAGTAGCTATAAACATCACTAAGTTTTCATGAGGGAATGTCTGGAGGTGATAGGATGAGAGCCCTATCAGGATTCGAGACATGCTCATTAACATTTTTGTTGGTCTCTAAAGTCAAAGGTGGGAAATTCAGCCTCACAAAACAATTCATGCAAATAAAAAGGCTTTTTAACCTTCTGAATGAAAAGAACAACTAAAATCATCACAAAAATACATCTATCGCTGCTAGTTGCTACTAACACATAAATCTGCCAATAAACCATAAATGAAAGTTTTCTGAAGACTGACAGAAATAGCTTTGACAGATAAAAAGAACAGTATATTTCTTTCTAATTTATTATTTAAACAGCAGTTAAGGACAATTTTAGTGGGAAATAGTAAACTTACTCTGAAATGATTAGTAAACATAATCTGAAATTATAAGAATTATTCAGCAGTGAACCTGAACTGTAAGCACTAAGAAAAACACATGTACTGGTTACACTGCAGTCCTTCCAATCAATTATATTAGTAACCAACACAATTTGAAAATCTCTTTTAGCATGTATGTCTGCAATTATTTAACCTTCTGAGTGATATGAGCACTCCAGATATTTCAGTTCAGTATTAAACAGGTCAGCCAAATCCTTGAGCCTATCCACTGATACAAGAGAACATGAACAGCTAAGCACTAGGGATATTGTCAGTATGACACTGCATGCAGAGTCTCTGTATGAAAGTCCACTGCTGCAAGGCTGCTCTGCACATCAAGGGCATGACTACAAGGAATGGTACAATACTATTTACAGCCCTAACAGAACATGTACCACCACTGAAACGACACTGATTTGTTCCTGCACTAGCACAGGAAGCCAGTGACAGAGCAAGGAACAGCACTTCCAATTTCCAGGATAGCACAGGTTAACTACTGAATCATTCTTAATTTACACTCATGTCTAGTTCTAACTTAGCTGCACAAAGGGAGAAGAAATTATCTTTTACAGCATCTTTTCAGAACGATGTGAAAATATCAACAAATGAATGTTGCTCTTTATCAGGCCAAAAATGCAGAGCAATCATCAGGCAGTGTATATACACTCATCTGGGTATGAGGAATGCAGCTCAGGAACTGGGCATTTGTGCAGTAAGCAGACGATGCATATACTGGTAGCCTCTCTGACTTCTCTCATCTGAGAGATGATGTTAAGGGAAGAACCGAGACAGAAAGTGTCTCTTCCTTTTAAACAGTAGTGTGAAAATCCAACACACTACATAAAAGATGATGTGAAAGGAAAAATCTGATACAAGGCCTTTTAAGAGAAAGTTGTTAAGCACTAACTGTCGCAGCTCAGAACAGTGTCAATGTCAAGAGCCAGACATCTTATGTAACTCTCTAATTAGTCTTCAGAACATCTAATATTGCTCAAAAATAAAGAGGTGACACTGCCACCTAAAAATAAATGCTATGAGTAAAATCTTCGCTCTGTTGTAGCTAAGAAGCCAAACTGACATTCCTATCAGTGGTACCAGTATCTCATCACTGGTCTCAATGCCACAGTGAACACAAATATAGCATACTGGCAGGAGTCCCTGTCCTAAAACCTCACCCAATGACATTGAGAAAATTCACTTCTAAAATACAGCTCTGACTTCATGGGCAATTTGGTGTGTTTGCAACTTTAACAGTAAAATTGCGTTTTTGCATTATGAAAAATAAAACAGGAAGGAAATGTGACAGATAAAAGGAAACATCTTCTTTTGTCACAACGGCATTAGAGGGGCTAAGCCAGGTTTCTCTGACAGTACTTACAAAGTTGATCATTATTCTTCTCTTATATTATTCTACTAATACTGGTACCGCTTTCAGTGGAACTAGGAATCACCTTGCAACAATTGCCCCTTTTAGGCGCAGACAGGAAGAAGCATTAGAAAGATATTTTTCTGATTTAACTGATTCTTTCAGCACTGAAGTAAGAAATGAGCACATAATAATCTCTTACCGGCTTGGGGTTAACCGAGAATCCAGGCTGCCAGACTTCATGGTAATAGTGTCAGTAAACAGCACGTCTTTTGCTGGAGATGCCAGGGCTTCTGAGTGAGACAGTGAGGGATGCATCCTCTGCTGCTGTAGGCGCTTTAGTGTAGCATAGCCAAAGGCATCTCGAGAACTCGTGTAGCTGAAGTTATAATCAGCAAGACTTTTTATCGTAGCAAGTGAAGGAGCTTTAAGAGACTGGGCTCTTCGGGGAAGGGTATGAGAAGAGCCTGGTGGTACCAGGGATACAGAGTTGGATTTTGAGAGGGGCAGGTGGTTAGGCTGTGGTGTTGAACAGTGACTTGGTTTAACTGTTTTTGTGCTTACCACAGTACTCAAACTTCCACAGTCAGTATCTACATTTGTAGTGTCCACACCTACAGTCTCCCTTGAAGGGCTGGAGCTCATTGAGCTTATGCCACTTGTTGTGGTATCTGTATTAAAACTTAAGCTACGACTCTTGAAATGTGTTTGTGTAGTACCATCTCCTATCAGCCTTTCTTTACTTGTGTTTTCCCGATGAATTTCATTTCCAAGACCTTTTGGCAGCTTCAGATCATTCTCTCCAATACTTGGGGTACTATCAGTGTCTTCCACGTGTTTACTTCCAACAAAAGAAGTTTCTAATCGTAAAGTCTGGATTTTTGGAACTCTGAAAACAGGGTTGAACTCTTCCCCAGCAGGAAAGTCTATGCTACCACTAGGTTCTGTTACTGTACGATTTCGCCTCAGGCCTGATTTACTGTCAGATGATGTCAGCTTTCCTCCTTTTGGATCACTGCTACTTCTGTGTTTTTTATTAGGTAGAGTAAGAGAGTTTAGAATGCGATTTTTCACAAGTCTGCTAGAAGAGAAAAAAGGAAAGGGACTACGGTCTTTGTCCTTTGAAGGTCCAGGTCTGTCATAAAATATTTGTTCTGCATCTTCAGTAATATCTAGAAAGAAAGTACTGGTGGAAGTACTACCAAAACGGTCATCCTCCATGATGAACATACCTGAAATTATACGAGACTTTGTCACTGAAAATGGACATTCCTTCAGAGTGTAGAAACTATGCTGCAAAATAGGAAGCCTTTCTACAGAAGCTAAAGTGTGAATCTATGCAATTTACAGCAACATTAATTCATAATTTTTTTCTGCAGAACGCAGTGCAAATTAATTAACTTGAGGAGTATCTGAGGTGAAGGTCTCATTGTTTCAAAAGAAAAGCCACACCATTGTATTTCAGTGCAAATATCCACCTACTGGGATTCAATCAAAGCACTCCTTTCATGGTATCTAAATATGGTACACTTCTGGATTTAAATTCCAGCTACATATAGCAAAAATAAAATGCATTAGATACTCAAAATACCCAAAGATTTAAATACAATGTTTTGTGTGTGTGTATGTATGTACATCCAGAGAATACATGAATCTATTTTCTAAAATACTCCTTTGGCTACAACCAAGTGTATCTTTATACCTAAGCACAGAGTTTTCTGCAGCATATTACGGGAAACTCACAAGACTTGACATAAAAAATTAGTAACTTACCCTAATGTTAAAATTTATTTCTTCTACACTAAATGTGAAGTTAAGACATTCTTTAATCCCTCTCACTTGTCTGCATCTCTCTGAATGCACATAACTGTCCTCTTACTTGCACTCTTATTATTGTACTATCACCTTTACACCATTTGTCTGAACCTCATCCTCCCAGAAGGTTGGTAAGGACACCAAAATACCATTTTGTCGTGGTTTGGGGCTTTTTTCCATTTGTTTGCTTTTCTTTTGTTCGCTTGTCTTGGTGTTTTGGTTACTTACTTGAAGGAGCAGATTCGCTTTCACTGTTGTGCCTAGAACTGGTGGACTCAGAGTTCAAGCTAAGAGTGCTGGGTATAGAAGAAAGTTCATTGCAGAGCTGCTCCATGTCATCAGGGACCACCGGCCAAGGCTGTCTACGACTGTGTCTCACTGCATCCCAGTTGTGATGCTTCAAAATGTCACATCCTTGTTTAGTTTTGGCTATTAGACCAAGCACGTAGACACAGGTTCTGTATTTAACGTATATATAGAAAAAAGAGCAACAATAATAGCATCTAATTTAACTAATCTTATTTCTCTTTTCAAAGGAAAGTTTCAAAACAATTCAGCAGAAACTTCACAAAATTGTCAACTAGTATATTGTTAATTTTTTATTTGTAAACCAATGGAAGCTTAAGAAATGCATTGAAGTATCTGAGAACAATACAGTATTCAAAAATAAAAATTAATTCTCACAAGAGCTGTGTTACATAAAGTAGAAAAGTACCTTTTGAAAAAAAGGACAAACACTACTGCAGTAGCAGTATTAGGAAAAATATCATCTATTTATGCTTTTAAAGATTCAAAAAGATGTTCAATAAAAATAATGGAATGATAAATTGATTTTCAAAGAGATAAGTGCAATTTTTTTTTTTTAAAGAAGAGTAGTATGCATCTTTTCTCGTAGGTTTAATTTGCTAACTGCATTTTCTTGCAAACTTCTTACACAATTCTACTATTGCATCAAACTGAGATTGATAGTTAATCATCAGTGATCTTTAACAGGTGGTTTCCAAAAAAGTACAAAGGTAAATTCATGTATATGGGGTAAAGCTATTTGAAAACTGATGGCAACTACCATCTGGAAATTTTATGTATAAATCAGATACACATACCCTCTAACAGAGAGAACCTCACAATGTTGAGCAAGCGCCATTATATCCGGAATTACATTCTCCTCTTGAAGCAAGTTAAGACCCCAGTTTGATGACCCAATGTTGCCCTGGAATAAAATTCGTCAAGTAAGTTTTGATCTTGATCTGATCTGCAGCACTGTCAGTGTAAAACTTCTGACATTTTTGTTTGTTGAGAGAGCTTCAAACCACATCTTCTCAAAGCAATTACGAGATCTGAGCACCCTGTCTGCATCTCCTAGTTGTGCAAATCCAAAAAAAGGACTCAGCACACTAACCTATAATACCTAAAAAAGCCTACAGTTAAAACTACTATGTATTCCTCACTTCTACTGCAGCCTGCAGTATGATCCTGGTTTATTCATTTTATATTCCTCTTACATAGGCATTTTATTACAACAAAGAAGCAGACAAACAGTTGAGAACAGTTTAGAAGTGCAGCTTGGATTCACACCAACACTAGGTTTTTGCCTAGTCCAACTACCAGGGGTGTCATGACCACCTACATTCTCACGCATCAACACTGGTAGACAATTTTCTTCCGGAAGTATGAGAGACTACCACAGTGAATACATTGAAATTAGCCCACAGCAACCTGTAACTACTTGTAAATCCATACTAATATTGTTGTTACATATGGCAGTGTGGAGGGTTTTTTGTTAAAAAGAATTTGTTAAAAAGAAAAAGTGACTATTAAAAAACTCAGAACAAAGTAGGTGCAGTGAACTACTTTTAACTTGAAGTCCAGTTATGGTACAGAATTCCACCTTGAAAAAATCACATACTTTTGGACAAAAACCCTAATTCATTATTTATATGGCATTTTGTTTGGTTATTTCAGAATCACGAGTCGTAACTAAACAACTGCAAAAGGTTTGTAAATCTGTTACTAACCAAAGCCCAAAGGGCTGCTTTCAGCTGCTTAATTCCTTCCCATTTATCCAGCATTGGGGACCGAACAGTGTAACTCAGATCTGTAACAATACTCTGAAGGAGAAAAACAGAAGAAAAAAATTAAGTTGAAAATGAAAAGGAGACCTCAGTCAAACAGGTTTTCTTGCATTTATAGTAAAAGTTTGAGCACTTATTTAAAGTATGTACTCCAAGATGAACAGCGGTAATTCTGGAATTATAACCATAAATGAACAGACATGATAATGCAAGAACTTGAAAATCTAAGTGAAATCACTGACTGTATGAAATTATTTCAGATTATATAAAGACAGAAGATTAGTCAAACCAACACACTGGAATATATACATTTTCTCTTGAACTTTTCAATTATCATAATCAAACCCACTTTAAAAGTGAATTTAAGCAATTATGGAGCGGTTTAAGGTTTTTCTTTTTATATTTTCAGAATATTCAAAAGATTTTATTCCCTCACCTCCACATTTTTGTATGCTTAAAAGGATAGGTACAGTTTTAATGCAGGTATATTTGTCAATATACAATTCACAGAGACTGACAAATTTTTTTCTATTTATGGATTACTTTCCATTCTAAGATTTTGCCAGTCATTTTAAGAAAAATGTTACAAGGTATTTTGCTGGTATTTCAACACCAGGAGGGAATTTTACATGAGATTAAATGGCAAATACTTTCATAACTTAATCAACAACAACACAACTTATTTTGCAATGACTGTTTAAATGCCATCTCTTTCAAGACCTATTTAAAAAGGGTTACAGTGATCTTTTTAAATATTTCAAGTTATAAACAATTATTATCCTCACCTGAGACTCCAATAAATGGCATCCTGTCTTATGGTGCACCAGTTGGCCATAAAGGTGAACTGGCAGGTATACATGTGGTCGTTGTAATCTGGTAGAAAGAGAAATCATATGTAAGTTTACGAGCATTTCTAATATTTTCTTTTAAAATAAATTATGCTGCAGTGTAATGCAATGAGTTACTCTTCATGTTTCTCAAATGAAGAGAATTCTTTGGAGGCATTTACAAAGGAATGGACTATTTTGAATGCAAGGAACCTACAATGATCATTCCAAGCCCATGCTTGACTACTTCAGGGCTGACCAAAAGTTAAAACCTGTTATTAAGGGCACTGTCCAAAAGCCTCTTGAACACTGACACTTAGGGCATCAACCACCCCTCTAGGAAGCCTGTTCCACTATGTGACTACTCACAAGCCTTGTGATAAAGAAATCATTCCTTATGTCCACTCTGACCCTTCCCTGGTGCAGCTCTGAACCATTCCCATGAATCCTGTCACTGGATACCATGGAGATCAGCATCTCCCTCTCCCTTCCCCTCCTCGTAAAGTTGCAGAGAGCAATGAGATCATCCCTCAGCCTTCTTTTCTCCAAAGTTAACATATGCCTTTCAATAATTTTCAGTGTAACCTTCTCCATAATTTTTCCAGGAAACGAGTTTAGACTAATAGGTCTTCAGTTTTCTGGGTCTTCCCTTATGCCCTTCGTGCAAACTGGAATAACAATTTCTAGTCAGAAGGGACCTCCCCAGGCTTCCAAGACCTTTGGTAGCTGATACAGCTGGGTCCTGCCACAACATCAACTAGCTCCCTCAGTACCTTGGAAGAAATCCCATCAGGCCTCATGACTTTGTGAACATTCAGCTGATAAAGCTGGTCCCTTACAATTTTAGTGTCCACAAATGGAAGTTACAATTCCCATCCCTACAAGTCAGGTAACCATCTTCAAAAATTATTGATCCAATGTTTTCTTCTGACCTACTCTTGCCACTAATGCATTTAAAAAAGCCTTTCTCATCGTATGACAGAACACTGGCCAGTTTCAGTCCTGAATGAGCTTTGGCCTTTTGTGCCTTCCCTTTAGTGCCTGCTTACGTGAATCACAGCTTTATAATCTTTCTGAGAAGCCTGACCTTGTTTCCAGAGATCATATAATTTTCTTTTCCTCTTGAACTCCATGAGGAGTTCCTTGTTCAGCCAAGGTGATCTTCTGCCCCACTTGATTCACTTACAACATAATGGGATTGCCTGCTCCTGTGCTTCTAAAATGCACTTCTTAGAGAGATCAGCACTCATGGAGTCCTGGGCCCTCAAAAGGGTACTCTGCTAAATAGCTCTCTTGAAGTTCCAGGCAGTAACTCTGCTGTCCTTTTTTTCACTACACTGAAAACTCTCAACTCAGCCATGACACGATCACTGTGGCCAAGACCATCACATCTCCCACAAGTCCTCCTGTATTCACAAACAGCAAATCTAGCAGGGCATCTTTCCTACCTGGCTCACTAAGTACCTGTGACAAGAAGGTATCTACTACAGACTTTGAGAATTTCCAAGCTTGCTTGTTACTGCAGTATGATATTCACAGTTGATGCCTGGGGAGTTAAGTCTTCTGTAAGAAGCCCATGAGAACAAGATCCAGAAATTTCTCCTAACTGCCTACTGAATGACTCATCACTGCTGACATCCTGGCTGAGCAATCAATAGGAGACACCCACTACATCTCCTTTATTTCCCTTAATCCTACCCAGAGGCTCTCAAACACATCACCACTAATTGTATAATCAGACCTCTTCCTTATGTATAGAGTGATGCATCCACCTGCTCTGTACCCAGCGTATCCCTCCTGAACCACTTGTAGCCTACCATCCCAGCACTCCAATCATGGGGCTCATTCCACCAAGCCTTGCTAATACCAGTGATATTAAAGCTCTGGGAACTGACCAACACTTCCAGTTCATCCTGTTTGTTTCTTCTACCGTGTTGTAGAAGCATTTCAGATAAGCTCCTGAGACCTCTGTGTTCCCAGGAGCAGTGTAAACTGAAACCCTGTTGGTATGCCCTTCCCTCATACGTTCTAGTTTACAGCTTCCTTGATCAGTCCCACCAGCTTATGCCTCAAGACCCACTTTCCCCAAGTTACCTTTGGTTGCTCCGACGAACATAGTTATCACCATCAACAGGTTTGCGATATGTTGTAAGTGCTTCATTAAGTTGTTCTTCAATCAGTTCAACATACTTTAGGTTATATTCCTATAAGAAGGCAGACGAATGTTGATACAATACATATAGTGGTTTATGGTCTCCTAGCATGATACTTTATAAGAAAGAAATAATTCAACTGCCCTTTAAGGCTGGCTGAATTCTTTTATAATTTGAAGGTGGGGCTCACCAAAATTAATGCACTTCATACATACAATGAATTTGCAGAGTCAACAATTGATTCTGTAACCATTACAGCGAATTTGTTAAAAAAAGGAAGGAAATACTTCACATCTAACAAACTCAAACAATCTCTTCAGCACTCCTTGAGAAGTGACAGTTAAACTAGTTAAAAAATTGCCCACAGGAATGAGACCAATCACTTATAATCGATTACAAAAGCAAAGTAATGTCTCGAGAGTTTTACTCAAGTTATGGCAACTATGAATTTTTAATGGTCTTGTGTTCCTCTTTACTTCCTAACAGAATAAACTAATTCTATCTTCGTGAGCTCTACATTTAACTACAATTAGCAATAACCAGAGGTAATAGGTATCTTGAAAAGTGGCAATCCTTTGCACACTCCTCTAGATAAGACCTTACAAACCAATCTCTTTTGCAAAGTCACCACACTCTGAAATATTTTCTAAAATATCAAAATTATATAAAGGCCTAGGTAAATCAAAAGCCCACATATACAGAGGAGCTACGGAACTCTAAGTCCCTGTCAACTTTTTTCTTCAGAAACATTAAGTCACTGAGGCAATAAATATATTTGCATTACTGAGGCACATACATTAATATACAATATTTTTAAGGTCTAAACCATATTCACACCATTCCCCCTCCTTATATCAAGCACACTTTCTTCTTAGCATTACCTTTTGCCACTTTTCCATCTGTTTTGTTACATAACCTCTTTCATTTAGATACGAAAAGCCCTTTGGGATAGACAGAAATCTGTAAAATAACATCAGACAGTTACCACTCTAAAAAAAAAAGTCACACAATACGAATAAAAAGCAACATTTATTTGTTTTCACAGAGTGAAGTCAAGTAGCATATTCAACATTTACCTTAGGAGTAGAAGCAAACCCTTGTCTCCAAGATGAGAAAGAGCTGGTTTCATTTGGATAAGGGCATGAAGATTGGCCTAAAATAATTAAGAACACATATGGAGTATTTGAGCACTATGTTATTCTGAAAGCTGCAGTAACTACATCAAACTGCCAGCAATGAAGTAGCAAGTTTTTCACAACAGGAAGTATAAAACAGCACCAAATGTATCCTAATATTATAAATTTTAGGTACCTTTTGTCATTAAATGTATATTACATCACAAAAAATATCATTAACAAAACAGCTGAATTAGTTGCAATTCTTATTTAAAATAGGCATAATCCAGAAGTCTACACTTTTCCTGTCAGTCATACTGCAGTATTTTCATTAAAGGGGTCTATAAACTATTATAAGACCAACAGCGACAACCAAGAAAAGCAACCATGAGTAACTTCTTACATATTTTTACTTTGCTACCAGGGAAAGGGGTGGGGAACAGACTTAAGAGTATCATACCAAAAAGACATTAAAAAGGGAAAGGATGCTCACCTTGTCTTCACATGCCTCATCTAGAATATCAAGTGCCTCAGAAGAAATAGTTTTATTTTTATCATGTAACTGGGTCACCAGTAACTCAATCCCCCAGTTGCTGAAGAACTCTACATTAGCTCTCAGCAATACTCGTAAGTGTTTTGTTGCATACAACCTGCAGCTCTGCAAAGCAAGGAAAATGCTTTCTTGAATGGAAGAAAAACAGTTAATGAAGTCAGTAATTTATAACTTTTACAAAGACATTTCAATTATTGTATCTTGCACCAAGCAGCTGTGATGAACACCTTATCTAACAAAACTACAGATTATTAGAGCTATTTCTATCTTATCAAATAGGAAAATTGAGTGAAATCACAAGTAAATTGGTCACTGCGAGTCTCACTGAAAAGCCCTTATGTGAGAACATCATACAAAGTCATCAGAATTAGCAACAAATATACCTTGCAAGTGGTCAGTGCAATTGCACGCACTTTCAAGTTTGCAATGTTTTGCAAAAGACTTTAAAAAGCAAATATAAGAACCTCTGGGGAACTTATTTTAATAAATTTTTATTTCTTTCCTGAAAATACTCAGTCTTCTAAACTTCTTAGAAACCCTCAAATGTTATTTTCTGTAAAAAGTTTCCCCTACTACTATGAGTTTCTCCAAAGGACAGCATAATGAACAAAGTACCCTGTCAATTTCTGTACTGCTGTTCAAAACTTACTGAATAAACAGCATAAATTGATCAGTTCATCTGTTCAGTGTGGAGAAGAGAAGAGGGGTAAAGACCAGAGAGGGGAAGCCAAGCATTGTCTTTCCAGATGAAGGAAAATCCTGAAATGTTTTTACATTTCATGAGAATGAATAGGAAAACCAGTGCAGATGATCTCTCTTTCCCTCATGCATGAACTACATGAAAAACATAGATAAAGCTCTAATCTGTCAGAAGGTTCTTACTTTTACTATTAAAGGGCTTTGAGACCCCCAGAAATGATGAATCAAGTCAGAAGTCACTGCTCATTGACTACACTCAGCAGAGCATAGATACCAGTACATGGAGGGTAATTCTCCCCCCCCAGCCACCTATAAGGATAAAACTTGAGGTCATGAACAGCAGCACCTGAGGGCACACTGGCTACTCTGCTATTTCTACCATGAACTGGCAGAAAGGCAGCTGAGGCAGCATTAATTTGCTTTAGCATGAGTTACCAAAGCACATCTGAAAGTAGGTTAGGACGTGCTTCTCCTTCACTGATCTGTAAGGATATTGCTCTGCAAATGTTTTTGTTGGACACAGTCACTCTAAAATGCTACTCTCCCCTTGTAATTTCGAATTGACAACAGAAACTAATTTTTATTGTCTGGAGACACTCTCAAGGAATTAAGATTTCTGAAAGAAGCAAGCCTACTGGAGATCAACTTTCTCCCTTACTAAACATAGCTTTTCAGAAATTATGTCAAATCCCATATATTTTCATTGCCTTTAAACAAAATTGAGAAGCCAATTAAAAAAAACCGTAGTCAGTAGTGAGCCTCACCCTCTTCTTCCAGTGAGTCATCCCTTCAACCTAACTATCTTCTTTACTTTTAGACTCCACTGTTTACCTGTAAGAATCATCTTATCTTTGACAGCCTCAGAGAAATATCCTGAATTCCCTTCCCCACCTTCCAAAACACCATGAGATATTTAAAGGTAGCACTTACTTTATTCTCTCTCATATCCACTCAAGAATACATTCTGTCTGTTCAGGTGACAGAAACAACCCCCCTTTAAGTAATGAATGTTCTTTCCTAGTTATATTTCAACTTACAAATTGTCATTTCCCTGACATCAACGCTTGCTTGTCTAATAATGTTACACCTTTAAAATTCAAGAGTTTCCTCTCCCAAGTCCTATTTCGGGGCCAACCCCTCATTCCAGGAGCTACAGCTTCTGCTCAGTTCCACCACGCTGAGTAACCTCACTCATTACTATAGCAATATTTACTACCAGAAGGTCAACCTGCTTGGTATTGCTAGAAATATAGATTTCTGTTTGTCATAACAATGCCTTCACAATAAATTTAGGATGTCCACTGACCTAGACAATAATGTTACACTTAGTTTATGTACAGTGAGACTTTAATCTCATTCACACCCAAGAGAAACCTCTAACTGAATGACTTAATTTCCTAAGCACAAATACAATATAAGGTATGAAGTTCTCAACAAATTCAAAAGCTAGACGAGTAGGAGTTTCATTTCCCAGAATACAAAAATAAAAACCTTTCTGTGTATCTAGTAGCTTAAAAATAAAGTCATACATCTTGAATAACAAAATAAATATCTAATGGCAAATAACAAAGGAACGTAAGTTGAACTGAACTTACATCAGTAGCTGCTGTCAGGATTTTAGAAAGGATGACTCTTGCCAATCCATCTCTGCTATAATCCAGACTAGAAACAGTCAATTTTAACAAGTGATCCTGGTTCTTCAAAGAACAAAGGTTAAGAAGACTGGAGGCATGAAAAGGGAGGAAGAATAAAATTAGTACTTGAATTCACACAAATCTGTTTATTTATTCAAGTAATAATTTAAACTTAAGCACTTTGAATTATCCTTCCATATGAAGTATAACCACAAAAAAGTAAATTATCATAAGAAATGGAGTATCTTTAAACTGTTATAGTTGTAAAGTCAAATGAGGACAAAATAATGCACTGAACTGCAATGGGGTAAACCCCAAACTAACATTTTTTTTTGTAACTGCTCTGTAAAATTTTGTCAGCATAATTAGTGATTATGAATATGAAAATTGTTCATGAAGCCCTGTGAACAATTCTTCATTGTAAAACACTGTGTATAAAGCTTGCCATAAAGTTAGTCCTATTAACTGTCTAGATTTTACTGTAAATCAAGTTTTCTGAAGCCAGTAAAAAGCTTGCTTTCTAATAATCAACAAAACCAATTTGAAAAAAAATGGAGTACATCCAAACACTTGCATTTCTGCTTGTATTTTACTATACTTAAATAAACTGGTATTAGTCACTAGCCAATTCATTCCCAAAGGAAGGTAAGTTTATCTGTACATGAACAAAATTTTGAACTTCACAACTTCACTCAAGTATACTGGACCGAGCATTAAGTACAACACATGTCAACACATTTCACAAACAGTATGATGCATACCAGTTTTTGGTGGTTTGTGTTTTGGGTTTTGTTTGTCTTTCTATTTACCCACTCCTGTCTTTTCAGCACACTATAATCCCTTCTGAGTCTGATCTCTGTCAGACAGGTGTAGACAGGAAAAAGTAAGCTGTTTATGCCACATCACATCTATCTGTTTATTATGACAGACTAAAAGATCCCTTCTTAAAAAAATAAAATAAAATAAACCAAAATAACTTCAGAGTTTCCAGCTTTCCAGATGGTGGCCCTGATGCACAGTTTACAATTTTCATAACTGTTACAGTGCAAGCACAGTTCAAACAGAATAAAAACACTCACCACTGAAACACGTTACATTTTTCAAGCATTTTCACTCCATGAGGGTGACAAGATAAAGTACCGAAAAACAGAAAGTAGTGCTGGCTAAGAGTATTTAATAACCCATTATTTTGAAGACTACGTTCAGGTTTCATTCCTGATGAAGAGTTGAGCCAATGTACAATATCTTTAACCAATTCCTCCAAGTAACCTTGTCCATCCTAACAAAACAAAGAGGAGTAACATCTGTTAGTAACAGAACTGCGTCTTTTGTCTGCACTGAAACCCATAATTTCAAATTTCTTAAAATGTACAAGCACAACATAGATGCAAAGTAGAAATGCAGGCTGGCAATCAATTCAGACTAAAGAAAAAGGTTCAAGGCAAATAAAAGGAGATAAGCTTGGAGATATTTTAGGAAATAATTCTTTCTTTCTAGGAAAAGCGACAAGTATTATTCAATGACGTTTTCCTCTGACCTGAGGCAAAAAGTCTTTAGCAGAAAAGAAGAAAGAAAATAGAAAAGGAAGGTTGCACATAGCAAAAACAATAGAAAAATTCCTCCAAATTCTAAGTTGCATTTAACAAAGTAGTTTTTAATAAAACTTCTACATAATCACAGTCATCTTTCTCAGTATTTTACATTGTATTTCTTACTTACACTGGTCATTTCAGATTTAAGAACCAGTGACTAAGAAGCCTTTACCAAAAATTAAGGTTTTTCCTCCAAGTGGCACACAGCAAGACTATTCATTTTACCTCTAGTCTTGTAGATTAAAATTTATTACCTCTTCTGATTCAAGAAGAAATTCAGTAAACTGACAGCCCACGACAGTGAGTTGCTTTGCCTTGGCATAGTCCAGATCCAGGTTGGCATAGAGTTTGCTGCTAGGCTTGTAAAAATACAGCAACCTCCTTACAAACCTACAGAAAGTAAAAAAAGAATTTGCTATTTTTCAGTATGACAAGGACAGTCTCACAAGACAAAGTAATGCTAGTAGAAAAAATAGGTTGTCATTAAATTGTTTTACTGGCAATAGACTATCAAAATCTGTTAGAAGAGTAGCAGGTAACAGCAAGGAGTCTATCCAAACAACTGCAGAGATGCTGTTGCACTGTGTTTTATAAAGGGTTTTCTAAACCATTATTTAATATAAGTAAAGGAACTTAAAACCTCTATGCTCTTAGGAGATATCGCTCTCCTCTCATTTTCATACTTATAATTTATTCTGCTGTAATGTATCCTGTGGCAAGTTTCAAAGGCTTTATTATCCTGACTAACAAAGAGTTAAAAAATAATCTTAGAAAGTGAGTTTTCTCCAGCTATAACATTTAACACTACTGAGAAAAACACATTTTCATGTTCTGACAGGAAATGGTCTTATTTATTCAGCAACAGCACCTTCATTCACCTAACTTAACCATTTCTGAAACATAACACTGATTGCAAACACAGACTCTCACTTTCTGAAATCACAGTAAGCAATGTAGTTTGAGTTTTGAATCACACAAATTTTCAGCAAAGATTCTCTGCCTATCTGTAGGTTAAGTTTTAGAAATGTGACATATCCAAGAAATATTTTATTGCAATAGTAAAAACCAGTTTTTCCAAATCTCTTTCTACAAAGGAAGTCTAAATAATTTTTACATACCTGTGTAATTGTTCATCTTTATAGTTCCTTAGATTTATATTTGGCCACTAGAAAAACAGCAAATATAGCATTATACGAAATTTGTATATCAGTATTAGTCACTAGAATTCACTTTCTTCTATCAGTTATATTTACCTAATAATTAGAAATACAAGATTCCTTTCACCTAACATTACATCTGTAAAAAGCACTTATTTTATTGAAAAGCCCACGCTTCCTGCTTCAAGAATTGTTCAATTTTTTTCTAGAGAAGGACAAGCAATGCTGGTCACGTGCTACATGCATGAGGACACAATTCTAATGAAAATAGAAAAACCACAAAAAGCTGATGAAAAATAGATAACAATTTTGCTCAGTTTTTTTCTCTGCAAATAAAAAAATTTAGTATGCATTAATAGGGAAATAATTTTTAGGTTGTTGTTTCCAATATTCGTAAGATTTGTTTTAAAAATAAACATTATTCTGTTACAGCTCACTTAAATTCTGCTTATTAAAACAGCACTCAAACTCCCCTGTTGATACTTTATAAGATGTTGTTAAGACATATAATGCATTAGTTAATGATCAGTAAAACTGACTACACTAATAATACTGTCAGATACAGATGAGGTTGACACTTCTGCCTAAGCTCTTTTAGCAGCTTACACAGCAAGCTGGGCAAGTAAAAAAGGCAGCACAGGACCACCTGAAATGCTCATAGTGAGGTGGTTAGAGAGCTAACCCTCCACACATGTAAGAGGCAGGTGAGTAGCCACATGAGATAGCAGATTTGAAACATCAGAATCTGGATTCTGCTTGTCTACAGATGTCTAAAGAGGACTAAAGATGGACCATTCTGATAACATTATCTCAGTTTATGCTGGTGTTGTGCAGTTTAACAGGAACAGAAGTGGTTAAAAGTGAACCAGAAAACACACAGACTTCTCACTCTGTAAGAACTCCCTATTTTTGAGACATTTGCAACTGTTTGACAGAACACTAGAAAATAAGCTGCTGGGGACGTCTGAGATAGCAGAGAAATTGACTGTTTGATGCAAATTGCAGTTCAATAAAACTAAAACACCTTAACTACATAAAACTTCCACTGTCAAAGAACTACACAGACTACTAGTGAGATTCTGAAAAACAGTTTCCTGATAATATTTTTTAATACTGAATGAAAGGAAAAAATATCTACAACTAATAATAATAGGTATCTAGTAAACCAGTAAACCTAATAATTGCTGTAAAAAAAGCCTGGAAATCTTGTGGAGCAAAGCTACTGTCATGTACATATTCAGGTCTTTATACCACAAAGATTCTTGCTCTTTCAAGTTTATCGGTCCCTGAAAGAAAGGTACAGAATTACTTAATTTCTTTTATTTTGTTTTAAAAACAAATGAACAACACAAAAAACCCCACCAAAAAATATAATCTTGATTATGATTGTTACCATCAATCTTTTTTTGTACTTTCACCATCTTTGTATCAACATAGTACAGACAGTAAGAAAATGTTACTCAGCCAAAGGATGGCTTTGATGCACAGAATGACAGGAACTATTTTGGTTTGAACTATACTGAGTATTTAGAGTTTTCTTACTCAAAGAAAGCAAATTTTCTGCTCACTAAAAAAGGCAGTATCTTAAAACCTGTGCATTAAATATATTTAAAACAATGCCCCCCCTCAGGTAACACCTTTATGTTGTAAAAACAAAGTAATTTTGTAATTAACCTGATGCTACGGAAGTATTTGTATTAGTTCAAAACATTCAATGAGATTGCATATCAGTGAAGTTTTCATATGTGGCTCAGACTAAGAATCTAAAGTTTGATCTAGAACCCATCTCTGGCTTTAACTTTCAGCTCAAATTATTTAAAAATCCTCTATGAAACTGAACAAGGCAGTATCCCTCCGCAGTTTCAAGTATTAGCAGCTTTAAAGACAATATAGCTAATTCTGTAAACTTGAATTCTATACAAGCAAAGATATATAACGTTTAAGACATGCTTATTAAGGAAACTTCTGAATTTAACTGTAGTGCATTTTTGAATACAGTTTAAGGGTTGCATACAAAGAGACTACATCAGCTCTGATTATGAGACCCTAATTTTCCTAAATAAAACAGATTATTGGATGTACTATGGAATTAACATTCAAAAGTCAAAGCTCAGAAGTGAAACAGAGATTTTCTCCCAAATAATTTCTTCAAAATATTATCATGCTTTTTGTAAGCTCACCTTCAGTATGGTCCCTATCAGATTCCAGTTCCAGTCAAGGTTCTCTTTGTGATTGAGAACTTGGCTGTCTCGAAGATTCATGATGAGTGCCTCTTCTGTATCCTGGAATACAGATGTGAAAAAACTACAGTAAGTTTCTTCATATCAATTTTTCAAGCTTGTCACATGATATACTTAGTGTTCATGTCACAATCATTAGAAGGGCAGTGCTTCACAATAATTTGCATTTGAAGTTCAACTGTATGGTTACGGTACTTCATTAAGAATCTAAAAGTAACTAGTTAAAAAAAAAAAACTAGTCTCAAAAACCATTAAAAATTATTGGAGTTTTGCACATCAATGTCTAGAAATACAATATAGTATCTATAAGTACCCAAAAGACAAAACAGATTAAAAAGAAATACTACAAAGAAATCATGTAAATGACTCAGAATTAAACGAGTGAAGCTTGGAGGGGAGGATCCAAGTTTCCAAAATACGATGTCAAATTCACTTTTGAATAATGAATAATGGTAATACCTTTAAAATAAAGATGTCTTTCTGTACGCGGTACTGATCCCTTTTTTGGTGTGTTGAGATTGCTTTCTGAATAATATGATCTAAATGCAGGCTGTAAGGTTTAGGTCCTCTTTTCTTCATCTCATGAAAACGCTTTAAGCAGTTGAGTGCTGCACTTGCTCGTCTAAGAGAAAAAAAAATCAGTTTTTGGCAACTATTATCAAACTAAAGAGCACCACTATCTCTTGAGTAAACAGCTCAAGAAAGACCTGACCAACTCTTCTGAAGCAAAGGAAGTTATTTTCTTGAGGTAAGTTTTCATATACCCATAAGCCTCAATCTCATACTGAAACAATACAGAAAATTATCTTTCAGAGTCTCTGAAATATGACCCTTATGGATAACTTTTCTTCTACTCTGCAAGTAGCAGTGCTTGTCACAGCTCACAGAAGGTATTGTATAGTTTAAAGTTGATTTACATTGTGAGATGCCACAGTAGATCAATATTCTGCCATTGACAGATGATGGGACTAGCTTCAATTTACAGTAACAAAGTTTTTCTCTTACATTCTATTCCTTCTTCCTTCCCCTGAGGGTGGCAGGACAATCAACAGTGCGCTTCCTGCTCTTATTATCTAAACAATTCAGCAGCAGCATGTAACAAGGGTTACAGGAAAAGATATGAAGTATCAGAAATGACAGCTGACAGGAGCAAAAACAGTTAATTAAAAAACAGTGGTAGCAGAAGACAAACTCCACCTGCTGAGCAAATAAAAATAAGGAAGTCTAAAAATGAGAAGTCTATCTTCCTTCCCCATAAACAAAAATTCTCAAAGTGTAGAAGAGTGGTTTTTTTTTTTTTTATTTTCAAACAAATACCTTTGAATTTGGTCACTTACCTAAATTATGCAAATTCAATCTGTAACAGGGATTAGTTTTTCAAGGTAGGAAACAATGCATAGTGTTGACCAGTATCAAGATGCCCAAATAAAAATTACCACTCCTATAAAATCACTTTCTTCCAACTGAAATGGGAATTCTTACTACTCTATCAGATATGTCCACAAATGCCAAAAAGCAAATGCACTGTAGGTAATCCACAAGCATATCCCTCATCCCACAGCTTTGAACACATGAAATATCCTCTGCTGAAGTTTCAGATATGTCTTTTTTTTGAAAACTAACTGTGCTTTTCCATATCAAAATCTTCTAGTGACAGATATGAAACCTTCAGATCTAAAAAGCAGAAGAGCACTGCACTTTTAGGAAGCACTCTACAAGTAGCATTCCACAGTGGCAGTTTGGAAACATTCTATAATTTATCAATAACAACAGAATGAAATACAAAACAGAACTTTATGATATTTATCAGAATACTGATTTGACAGGACAGATGCAAGAGTAATTAACAAAAATATTTCCTATTAGTAAAAATCCAACACACTCAATTTGTCTTCTACAAAGAAAAGCAACTAAGAACACTGAGTTGAAGAAATATCTATTAAAGATGTGATTCTATCAAATTATTTGATTTCTTTCATTAGGAGGTTTAAATTGTGTAAAGTATCTAGAAGATGGCATTTTGTGATAGAGCTTTATGCTTTTAAATGTAACTTAGAATTCTTACAGTCTTTTCTCTTTCATGATGTCAAAAGATGCTGCCATATTCATCAGTGTTGGCAAGCAGTGCAAGTGATGGCTGTGAGAATGGGGAAGAATTGTGTTTGCCTAAAACAAACAAACAAAAAAAGACCAGTTAGAATAACTTATTACAACAATTTCAGCCATCTCTTTAGGATCAACATTTGAAGAATCTACCACTTTTCCCAAGACTTTCACAAAATAATGACAATGAAACTACCTTTCACTTAATGTCACAGCGTAATACAAGTACAATTTCGAATTGTGATCTGACTGATCAACCTCAAATACACTTGAAAGTAACTTAAAATGATTTCAGAAGTTTATAATCCATATTGTTTGCACTGGTGATTTTTTAAGTGTTAACACGCAAAAACTTGCGAGCATCGGATATTCTTTATGTTATGTGCACAACAGTACTAAAAAAAATCTAAAATCTGAAATACAATTTAAGCTGATTTCTACTAAAACACTACTGCACAAAAACCCCAAGTGATTAATTAACATAAGGTACTAGATGTTCAACTGCTTTTAATAAACATATTCTGCAAATATTTTTGGAAACCGAAGAATAATGAAAATAAGGAAACTGCTTCCATCTCTAAAAACTAAACAAAAATACAAACATTTGTTCTTTTCCTGATAAAATTCATATTTGACTAATAAATCACCTCTTTAGAAAATCAAGAAATACCTATGCTTTCCAGAATACACCAATGTATAACAGTCATTACCATTCCAAAATTATTTGGAAACCAGAAAAATAACAAACATTATTACAGATTCCTCTTTTTAAACTTTGTAATGACTGACTGAACACCCAAGCAATTCCATCAATAATTTAAAGAAAAATTACTAAAAAAGCTAAAAAAAACCAAAAACAAAACCAAAACCAAAAAGATTTGGTGTGGTTGTGGTCCATCCTGCTGACCTGAGATGTAAATTACTATAGTAATAAACAATCCTATATCTGAAGATTGTGACTTTGGGTTTTTTGGCCTACCACTGAAAAGAGTCGACAGTCTAAACATGCAGACTATGTCTGATAACTTGTATTCGAATTTTTGCAAGACAAAGTCATAGTTCACAATCTTACTAACTCTTACAAAATAGTTTATTTGGAAAAAAAAAAGATTTAAAAAACATAAGAAAACTGTCTAAAATGCTCTGCTGTATATGCTATTCTCCTTGAGAGGACAAGACATCACCTCCGTATGAAAATAGTTTAGGCTGAAGGAGAGAAACTACTGTAAAAGCTACGTAAGGTAGAGTGAAGCAGAATGAAGCAAAAGGTTCCCTGCAGCTGGAGATACCCACAGCAGTGCTGAAAACACATTCCACCAAGATGGAGTTGCCTCAGTGAATAATACCAAGTACCTAAACTACATGGAGCTGAATGTGGAAAAAGTTTTACCTGCCTATCCTGGAAAGCAGAAAGCTACACACACTGTCAGAAGGCTACCTACCATCGTTCTAAGAAAAGGAAAAATCAGCAATGGTCCTTTTCCCAAACACAGCAAATGATGGGTGAGTTTGCAGGATTCCAGATTAAAAATAAAACTGGCTACTATGGCAAGGAAGAGTAGTGGTGAGAGACAGAGCTGGCGATGACCCTAGGAGCAGAACCTCTACCACTTCCAATTCTTTCCAAATGGTTTTTCTATTGATTAATAATGTTTTTAATACATGAAATGTCAAAAGATGTAATGTAAATTAATCCACTATTCTGATGAAAACTACATGTTCCAGGCTTGTAATACAAATTCAATGTTATAACAGCTATAATAGCAAATACTTTTACAAGTAGTTACAACAAATTCAACTTACCATGTGCAAAAGTTCTCCCAAAAGGATAGTTGCTCTAACAGACACATGGTCATCGCTACTTGTGATCACTTCAACCAGACCCTTCAAAAAGTTAAGAAAATTTTACAATATTAATGTATAACATCTTATTTGAATGCTTACAGGAAAAAAGTAGCACACATCTATTCCAACTCAAAGTCATTAGTTACCTCTAGAAGTCCATTAGTAATAAAAGCTGAAAGCACTAACGCCAAGTAATTATCCATGAGATCAGGCCTACGGAGACAAAAAGCATGGAAATGGTTTACAAAGTTCACTTCTTATTGTGCCTGTCAGAAAACAAGAAGTATTTTGTCAACACTACCAAAAAATAAAAACAAGAAAAGGTGTTTAGACTTAGTTCATTAAATCCTCACCTTGACCTGGCTCGATGGGGTAATACGGTTTTAGCTTCAGCAGCTACAAAGCCATCAGAAAGTCTCCAGCAGTCTTGAAACCTGCCTGGATCTATAACAAGAAAATATGGACAAAGGCAATTTTAACATTGGTTTTCATAGTGTTATTTTAATGGCTGTCAGTAGGCAAATAATAATATATGACAGCAAAGGTTACCTCAGGTTTCAAATTACAGAAAATTTTGTCAGAAGGGATCTTTAACAACATTCTAACCCACATTCCTGAACAAAGCAAGGATATATTGATAGCTAGGACAAAGACTGTATCTAAGAGTAAACCAAAATAATGACATTTCCAATTCATAAGCACATTAAACTTGTTTAACAGAAAATACCATTGGCACCTAAAATTTTACAATGTATGTACAATGTATATACACTGAAGCAGCAAGTTTGCAACAAAGAATGATTTATTCACTTATAAACATGGAACAAGGATTAAGCTTTTATAATCAATAGCATGACAAAACATTTGTAATCAGAGTTTTAAGAGGAGAATTGCAGGAACACTAAAAGGCTAAAACTTGTTCCTTTTAGGCTCATACAAAGTAGAGACTAATCTTGGATTTACAAGTAGTAATTCTAAAGATAAAACACTAACTTGGTTAAATATAAAGACATAAAAGAGCATGCACTTGCCCTTGAAAAAGTAAAAATCTGGTAAGGTGCAGTGGGGATAGCTAGCAAATACACAATATATAAAAAAAATTGAATAATAATTTTCTGTAACATTCACTAACACATCCGCATTATAAACACTTGTGACAGTTCAAAGATGTCTAATTTGTAGAGACATGTTTACACAATCTTTTGTGTAAATGCCTAACTATGCCCCACTGCTGATCCTTTATCAAACTTTACACTTAACAGTTGATAAAGGATTTTAAAGAGGACTTCTGAGTACCCAATGAATTCAGTGATAAAACAGCTAATAATAAGGCAATTTACAATACAGAGGAAACAGTGAAAGTTTCAAAGCTTAACAGACAGAATTTTTATGTGAACTCTTTTAAATACCTACCTACACTGAGAAGTGCCTCAATAAACTCTTCTGCGATAACAGGAAGAGGAAGGCGAAATATATCATAGAGAACTTCAAGCAGGCCTCGCTACCAAAAAAAAACCCCAAAACACGAATGTTAGAGATTTTAAAAAAAAATGTCCTTATTTTCATTACTAATAGTGAAGTTGAGATTTTTTATAGAGTGCTAAAAGTGGTGTATGTGTTGCATTTGTGTATTTGTGCAACTGTTTCTTTTTTCATAAACTGAAATAATCTGAAGACAAAAAGAAAAGAAGGGGCTTGCTCAATTTTGAACTGTACCTTAATGTCATTAATGAATTCTATAGAGGTTCAGGCTACTTGAATTGCAGATTTTTAGAAAAATTAAAACTGGCATCATCAACTTAATTGTTGATGGTTTAATTTGTAAAGAAATGTTTTTATTTCCCTTGGATTCAACTCTGATTATTATGCTTTAAGCTTGTAACTGCAGCTACTGTAAGCTTCCTTTGATTTGTGAACACAGTAATGATTAATTTCTGTTCTTTTCTCTCCTCCATTTTCTCAGAATACATGGTATGTTTCCCATTCTCACGGCAATTTTATAATGGAACTACAGACTTGAATTTGGGGGTTAAATGAACTTGAGGATTATGGTCTCATACCTGTGGAGTCCATGTTTACTGAATTGTTAGAAAGTTAGGAATACCTAAATTAAAACACTTAATATTATACCTACATCAGTAATAAATATTTATTACCTACCCGTATTTCCATATTTGGTATACAGAGTACCCCAATAAGAGATTGAATCCCAGAATTTCCAGGTTTGCACAGGCTGATAATACCTAGAAAACATAAAATACATAATAATATTCCCCCAAGAGACCAGTGTTCATCTCCAGATGTTTCAACACAGTACATTTAACATTACATAAAAGTGTCTCTTAAAATTGGTCATTTTACACTGAATTTTTACTCTTTTAGTTTAAAATTTCATTATTAACAGGGAAAACCTTTAAATTGTTTCTATAAGTTACAGCATATCACTTAAAGCTTACACTAAATTTATGCAGTCTCTTCATTAAACATGGCTGCAAAGACAGTAACCTTGCTCACTTCCTTGACCACTTATCTTCAGATTTCACAGAACAGATTAAACTTACAGAAACTACACTATCCAGAAAACAAACAAGTTCCTACAAAATGCAATTTTAAATTAACAAAAATAATCTAGATTTTTCCACCTTTTTGTCTTAAGATATCATAAACAAACCCGAACTGTTATTCTTTAAAAAGTACAGAGAGATGAAAATATCACCTACTCTAGAACTTGAACTTCTATAGTGTGGTTTATATGAATTTGAAGGAAGTTCTCAATTTCGAAAATTACATGTCACAAAAACTTCAGATATGCACATGTGGCCACAGACACACTACAGGCATTTAAGTATGTACCACGGTGCACCTCAGAGGCCTTTTGCAAGAGCGTACAGTGGCCACATCCCAACTGCAGTGCAGGAATAGATTTGGGTGTGTGCAGTCATTGTTCCGTGCCCCAGTTTTGTCTCTAAGGACAGGATCACACGTGAGCATAAAGCAGGTAGTAACCATCAGCTTTGAAAAAGAACCCTGACTGGTAAACACACAGACCAGAACAGCATTACATGGCAGATGTACAGACAGGTGAAAAGACACACAGAAGAAGTCAAAACAAAAACAATATTCTAAAGCATGTTCTTTCCCAAGGTTGACAGTGTAAGGACACTTTTGTAGTAAGAATATCTAAGACATTAGTCTCCAACATAAGTCACATAAAATAGGATGAACGTGTTAACAGCAGGAGTGCCACAACAAGTAACATATTCCAGGACAATTGTTCAGTCACTTGCACTTTCAGGCACAGGTTTTAAGTTCTAAGTGCCTGAGTACAGGAAGATGCAGCAACACTCCTGTCAGAAACTGTTTCCTAGAAGTTTCAATGTTGTCCCAGGCTTCCTACAGTTCCTCTCCAAACATGAAACAACAAATAAGAAACTTGAAGGATACTTGGATTTTAAAATTAAGTTTAGTGATCATTGTCAGAGCTTTAAAAATTAAAGCAAATAGTGTCAAAAAACAGCCTGAATCTTTTCTACGTATAGCCTGCAAAATTCCTACTCAAAAATTTGGTAAATAGTTATATTAACTAATTTAGTTTAAATTTGCAAGACACTGTCTTGACTAAAGACATTGCCAGTCCCTGAACCAGTACCTTCATTTTAGACATTGCAATATGGCAGAGAAAGGATTTAGAAACATTAAAAAACCACTATTTTTTAATTTAGATATGTTTTCTACATGAAAAATTGCAAACTATATCCATTTGCAATTTCTCTTCAGCTATGGCAGCTGGTAAAAGCAGGTTCTTATGAAACTAAATTCTGTCAGTATCTCTTAACATAGACATTTCGCATTCACAGTGGCAAAACCATCTCAAAGGTAAATTTTTATAATATGATGTCCTGTCACCCATTAAATGTCAGGTATGACCATCAAGATACAACTCATAAGGTATTCTACACAGGGAGGGAAAAAGCTTGTTAGTAGTCAAAGAAAACTATGTATGCATCCTCCAATTTTACAGTATCAAAACATGTAGCATTGTAGGAAGGTATTGATACAAATTAGAAACATCAAGTGAGACAGATTCTATGTCATTTATACTGGAAAGTAAAATCACCCTTCCAATCATCCAGCTTCAGACAAATAAACAAATCTTACCTGCCCATGATCGAAATGCTGCCACTATCCCCATTTTACTAGCTAGAAACCGTGCTTCTCTGTCCTCTCTGTCATTAAAACAACAAATGTCACAATGCAGGCAATTACTAGAAAACAAACAGTGCTACTAACACAGAAAGTAAACAAATGGTAGTTAATTGAGATTTTAGATGAGGAACAAAATCCAGAGCAAGATAAATACTTCATGTATGCATATGTATTTACACAATCTATACAGAATTTTTCAGTATTGTTACTCTTTCTCTTCCAGGGAAGTTTCCACAGGAGGAGGGTAATATCATAAAGTAAACACCTATATGAGGTCAGGTGAATCCCTCTGCACCTCCATGGACAGTGGGTCTACAGCAGGGACGTAAAAATTGGACCTTATTCAGTTTCCCAGACCTAATCCCATTTGATCCCATTCTAATCCCATTTGATAATTAAAAAAACCTGAACAATTCAAGTAGGAAGCAATCTCAGGTCTCTCTCTAGTCCAAATTCCTGCACAAAGAAGTTGACAGTTATCAAACCAGGCCAGGTTATAGAATCATAGAATGGTTTGGTTTGGAAGGGACTTTTAAAGGTCATCTAGTTCAACTCCCCTGAAAGAATTTAGCAAATGTAGTGTGGATTACACATGCCTTTTACAGCATCTAGAGCTTTGGGAACTATATAAGTTTCTGTAATTCAGCTTGGAACCTGTAAAACACTTAAGGCATTATCCAGTTGGGTCTTAAACTCTTAAGAATGAAGGCTGTAGGACCTCTCTGGACAACCTGTTCTAACTCTTGAGTGGTCTCACAGAAAATAATCCTCCTGCTACTCTCATATGAAGTTGAAACCTCTCTTGCTTCAATTTCTCTCTATTGCTTGTCCTCCCACCTTTCACCACCATGAAGGGCCACACTACATCTTGATAACATCTTCATAGGTAACAAAAAGTCTGCTATTCCGGGGAGGATGTGCCCCGATCCTCTCTTCTCTAGGCAAATCAAGTCCCTTTAAATCATAGAATCATATAATCATAGAATTAACTGGGTTGGAAAAGACCTCCAACCCTTGATCCAACCCCACAGTGATTACTAGATCATGGCACTCAGTGCCACATCCAGCCTCATCTTAAAAACCTCCAGGGAAGGTGAAACCACCACCTCTCTGGGCAGGCCATTCCAATGCCTGATCACTCTCTCTGTAAAGAACTTCTTTCTAATATCCAACCTAAACCTCTGGCAGAGCTTAAGACCGTGCCCTCTTGTCCTACTGCTGATTGCCTGGGAGAAGACACCGACCCCCACCTGGTTACAACCTTCTCTTAGGTAGTGCTCCAGCACCTCAATGTCTTTCCTGAACTGAGGGCCCCAGACATAGTCTCATAGACTGGACATAGTACTCAAGGTGTGTCCTCACCACTGTTGAGTACGGGGGAAGGATAACTTCCCTGCTCCTGCTGCCACACTGTTCCTGATGCAGGCCAGGATGCCATTGGCCTTCTTGGCCACCTGTGCACACTGCTGGCTCATGTTCAATCAATGTCAATCCAAACTCCCAGATCCCTTTCCGCCTGGCTGCTCTCTGTGCCCAGCCTGTAGCGCTGCAGGGGGCTGTTGTGGTCAAATCTTAAATGCTTAACAGTATTTTAGGAAGTTGTACTCTAGACTACCATATTCAACTTCAAGAAAATTAGTATTTGAAAAGAACAGCTTAATACCAATATAATAGGGAGCACAAGTAGCAGCACTAACACTTACTTGAGTTGTCCTTCTGCTGTGTCTGGATTATGCCTGTAGTGAAAATCTGTGTAAGGGGCTAAAATTCGCTAAACAAAAGAAAGACATGCATTATTTTCACATGAAAATACAGTTAAATTGCTGTTGCCCTTTCCTCAGTCCCACTCCAAACCACCATATTATTCCTGCTTTATGTATTTTAGGCTCTTAGCCTAAAATATTGTATTTTAAACACTGTGCACTAACACAGAGGGTGAAATCTGAGAGAAAAATGAAACATTTTCATTACCAATACAATGTTTAATTTCTGTCTCTAAACAAGTAAAACAGCACCCACCTCTAACTCTACATCTGCTTGCACATACTGTCAGGTCTTTGGATGATTAATGAGGTGCAAAACTGTAGTTATCAGAGCCTCATTTATTCGGCTTAGCTGACAATCAATCACATTTTTCAAGATGGTACTCAAACCACCCCGAAGAGCCACCACCTCAGGATTCTGAAGTGCTAAATAAAGACAAACACAAAGTCATTTTGGCCAGTAATAGGAAAGAAACCATTTCATGGCATACGACAAACTCGTCATCTCTTCAGTATATAAATCTTATTTTTCCTGAACCTTGCTGAGGCACATGTAAAGCTTCTAATGGAACAGGTTGACAATAAATAGATTTTGGAATAATTTATCAAATGCAAAAATACTGGTCAGTCTCCACCATGTGGCCATTTCCTAACTTAATTCCAAACAAGTTTCCATGTGTTAGTTTCTGGATTTCCCCACAGAGAGGTTTCATGCTTCACTAGACAGACTACAATATAACAGTAACTTATCATTTATTTCTTTAGAACAGAAGTTTGTATCTCAAAAATAATGCTGAAGTTACTTCCCACTGATTGACTTTGGGAAAACTTCAAAAATCAGCACCAAAATGAAAAAGTCTAGGGAATTAGTATAAACCACTGTCCAGATAGCCTTTAAACAGGAACACAAATACTGACTTCCAGAAGCCAGCTAAGTACAATACCCACTCCAGGAATTTATACGAAGATGTCTTGTAATTCTCTGAACTCATGTAAATTTGTCAGCATCTTGTGTATGGAATTTTCCCTACTTCCAGTCCACTAGTTTTAAGAAACACCAACTGCAGCACAGAAATGTTTTTAAAGTAAATAAAAAATGGGCAGAACTTAATGCAAAGAAGAGTACCTGAAACTTTCTGATACTATTCTTAAAGGGATTTTAAGTCATTTTGTTTCATATCATGTTAATTGCTAAAATCCATGAAACTGCCATTAAGAACTCTTAACAATTAATTTTAATTAATTTTAATATTATTAAACAAATACTGCTAATGACAATCACATCAAAACTGAAGATTAAGAAAAATTATTTACCTAGTTCACAGATAATGGCTATGCATGCTCGAACCATTCTGTCTCTTTCTTGAAGACCATCATTTCCAACTGCTATCAAAGAATTAGTTATAGAACTGGGGAACAATGAAGCATTCACAGTGATCATCTGCCAAAAAAAGAAAGAAAAAGCCCTCTGGTTTCTCCATAATATTTCTCTAAATACACTCATAAATTCACCAGCATTCTGTTTCCTACAAACAATTAGACAGACCACTCCACCTATAACTTGGTTTACCTGGTGAATCCTCATAACTATTTCTTTTGCTCCTGAAATTGAACTTCAATTCCAATCCATTTGTCAATTTAATTTAGCATTCTCTTCCTGCTCCAGTTGTTTATTTTCATATTATCATAATAAGAAAAAGTTAAAAGATGGTCGTTGCAGTGAGAATTATGACTACTTTTTTCAGGTTTTTTTCCATAATTTCTTTATAACAAAGACCACTATCCAATGACACAGAGTAGTTTACAAATTCATCTAGAACATTCATACTGCAGCAGATTATTCAATACCTACTCAACTGTTTAATTAGCCAAGACTAGCATCTCCTGCTTTGTAGAGATATCCTCAGACTGTTGCAAAATATAAAAAAAAGGACAGTCAACAGAAGCAGCTGTTAACAGTATTTGGAATGCAACTCTCACTAACATCCTTATATTCTTTTGCACAGTACCTGATCATCATAGAACTGCAACATAATTCATCACAAGTTACATATACACAGCAAAAGACAACCACATCCACTTTAAACAAGTTAAATGGAAAAGCAAAGATGGAAACAATGCCTGTGTCCATTAATGAGGTCATTCTTCAATTAAAAAAATTTAAAATAAATCTGAGACAGAACAGAAAAACAGATTTAACACCCAATGCTCATTTATACTACCGAGGATGTTCTGCACCACGGAAACCCTCAACTGCTAGTTGGGATACTCAGAATTCACACCAGATTAAGGACCCTGTGCACACACTAAAGACCAAGAAAGTCACTCCAAAACAAACAACCAGTACCACCAAGTCTTCACTATCCTCCAAGTGAGGCTTTGATTACAAAGGTTGAGTAGCTTTTTCACATTTTTTCCAATTTGTGAAAATTAAATACACATATACTCTGTACTATGGAACACGAATATCACTAAGCAGATGTATTACTAAGGAGGAAGTAAGTTTTTGTCTGACTGCTTAAAAAGGGAACAACACAATGTTTTATAGTGCACTCAACCATGTCACTTTTTTCCCACTATAATGAGATGTAAAAAAATATCCAACAAGCACCTAAAAACTTAGGGCTAGTTTTCCATGGGTTTATCATTCTTTTCATTTATAACAAAATCTTCATTATATTTCAAAAGAATGTTTTGTCCAAAAGAATGTACAACTGCCTTTGATGTGTTATAGATACTTCTTCAAAGGTGATTAATTTTTTACTTTTGCACAGATGTTAAAATGAGATCAACCTCTATGACCAATATATATAGGAAGAGTTTTAACAAATTTATTTTCAAGACATGTTTTTGAGAAATTTCTTCTTATATATAATGTTAATGCCAACAAAACAGGAAGCTTTAAGACAGGACTCTAAATTAAAAACAAATTCTTCCCCACCCACACAGTCTTTCAGTTTTACAACGGCATGAAGAAACAAGAATTAGTAATAAAATGGGTGTACTGCAAAACTGTAATCTGTTTCCTCCTGATACTGACATGTACTTATTGTGAGGACACAAGTAGCCTCTTAAGGTTGTTCTGCTTCACTATCTTCTTTGGTTTTAAGACATAAGAAAGACAGACTTATTTTAATACTCAATTCCAAACACATTAGTAGAATAAATAAATTTTTGTATTTGTATCTACCCTAGGTATTAAAATGCAGTTCTAAAGACTAAGGGACAGGTAATGCAGAGCTACTTACAAGTAGTTATCATGTAATAATAATAAAGACTATAAATTTGGTCTTTTAAGATTCCTTTAAGAAAGAGGAAGAAAGAAGGTGGTTCATATTGCATCTAACCTTGACTTCTGTTTTAAAAGGAAAACACACTGCCTACTACATAAAAAAGAAAAATTGTCTTATTGACTTCTGTTAGATAGAAAAACACTTCCCAAAGCAACTTCATGCTATCCTTTTCATCGCTGAACACATTACTAAACTGTAAAGCTCTTAGTAGGAAATTGTTTTTATCTTCCTCTACTACTTTAACCTGCACAGTTTTTAAACAAATTTATTAAGTGCCTTTTCTAAATTCATAAAGCAGTATTAATATTTCATATTTTGTTCTACTCTATGAAAATAAAGATAGGAGAGTGAGTGGATATTTTAATTTAATCTCTGCTATTCTTTCATAGGTATTTTTGCTACCAAAGAATTGCATCCACACATTGAAACTGAAAACAATAGTTCTGTGATGCTAGAAAAACTCAGTTCAATTCCTCCATGGCTCACAATTACCAAAAATTATCTTTCGGCACAAATTAGTTAGCTTCGTTTTATTTGCTATTTATTCTCCTTTTCTAGACCTTTATATAGTAATCCTGGCTTCAAGCCAGTGAGCCTGAGACACTGAGGGAGATGAGAGAGAGGTGACAAAAAGGTAAGAGTAGGGTAATAAAAGGAGTGTGAAAATACAGAGCGTGCCATTCAAGAAGTGTGTCACAGTATTCCTTGTGAGAGTCTCTCAAGTACTGACTGCCCTATGCCAAAGCATGTTTAGCTGCTGTAGCCTAAACAGCACACGAAAAAATTGTTAACTTTACTGGTAGCCAGGTTGGGTGGGTTTTTCATTTGTCTGAGATTGTCTTTCAAGAAAAAAGAATGTTGTAGATAGCAAGAGATGGTAGAAAACACCTTTCATCAACACAGTTCTCAGTGTCAAGGAACCATAAGCATCCCCATGTAGCATGTACATCTGATGCAGGTACCTGGTGCATGCACAGTACCCTGCCACAATGATGGACAAAAAAAAGCAGTGGTGGTCAGCTGTATGATTTCTCTAATGTTTATCTTTGACTTATCTTTATTGATTTTTCAAATGAAACTAATGGATTTATTTCCCTTGCAGTCTCTTCCTTCATGAAAGACAGAAACTTTCACTCAAGTAGGAACTGCTCAAAAAAGCCCAGGAATAATGAGGACAAATTTCTGACCTAAATAAAATCAATTACAAATGTGTTTCCACTCCATTTTCAGATTTAAGTTATTCTGACTCTACACTGAAACTCTTATTTCAAAGTAGATTGGAAAAAAACTTTTATAAATTGCAACTTTCTCAAGGACCCGTTCCATTATGGTTGTTTCTTTGTGCGTTTGTTTGGGATTGGAGGAGGTGGCCAATGCTTAAGATTTAAACCCCTCTTTTTTGGCACAATTGTTAATCAAGGATATTATTTTTTTTTCTGTAAGACAGAAACCAAAGGAGCTTATTACATGAAATCATATAGAAAACTTCCATATTTTAAAACTATGTATATATATATTATAAACACACAGTGCTCCCAAGAAACAATTGTTCCAACTACTTCAGCCTTTACTTGAGTTTTTGGTAATTTTTACATCAGTTGAAGAATGTAAGAACAATAAAAAATAGTGAAGTCCAGCACTTCCTGGACTTTCTTCTCTGAAGAAAATACATTTAGTAGCCGTATATGCAAATTTCTCAAGGATGAACTTGAAAATGTAGCTACCATAGCTTCAAATATCTCATGTATGTGGGTACACAGTGCAGTAACTGTCACAGATTAACCAGGTCTTGTTGACTATCTCAGAAAAAAATCCCTATGGATAGCATCAACCTCTAGGAATAAAGAAATAAGGCTATAAGCATTCTTTAACTGATTACTACAGTGACACCAATTTGCCTCATTCCTCAAATGGCAGAAAAACTCCCACCCTTGACTCACAAATGCTTAAACAGACTATAATGAAGTCAAGTCACTAAATGAAACTTAATATTGTTCTTATGCCCTTGCATTCACTCCTAGGTAAGTTTTTCCCAAATCT